TGTAAGCTATTATCAATAACTTTATAGTTTGCCAGTGCTGTGAAAAGATTGTGTAAAATAATTAATATGAAGAATTTATCTGCACTTTATATTTTTTAGCTAGCTAGCCAGCCAATATTAGAGGGATGATTCCCATAAATGTTTCAATAACTGACAATATGCTAACATTCCATTCAAACAATGCAGTCAAACCACAGCCATACTCTGGCTGAAATCAGTGATAGGAGTTACACAAGTTGTAAATGCAACAAGTACTGATATTGTATCATATAGTAGCACTCACAGCTTTTCAAGAAAACGAAAATTGAGAATTGTATGTTCTTGTGGGACACGCTGATCAAATATGGCAAAAAAACGAATATTGTTTTCTGCAGCGAGCTGCGTTGTCATGACAGCTACTGACAACATAACGTTCTTCTGATAGATCCTGCTCGAGCTGTGAATAGCCAGCCAATCAGATGGCTCGACGGAGGTCATGTGGCTCCTGGTTCATAAAGCCCAACGTTCTTAAATGTAGCAAGTTTCGATAGTAACTTCATTGACATCGAGCGCGGTTAGCTGTCAAACACTGGGTCGTAGGAGCCGCTTCATAGCACGAAACAGAAAATAGATATTTCATACTTCACTTTCCCTCTCCAACACCCGTGGAAATGTTTAACAGTCTTCTTAGGGAATTTGACGAGGACCCTTTCTTCTCGTAAGTAAAATCAATATTGTTTTCTGCCACTCATTAATTCGACTGTCCGAAGATTTTTCTAGAAAAATAATAACACCACTTTCAACATGACACATTGTTTCAGATAATGGACAATAACGACTGTATGCTACCCACCCCTTGTCTACAATGACAGTCTGTAGGCTATTGTCAATAATGTTATATTTTAAGAGCCACATTCACAGTCAATAGGTTGCATATATTGTTATGGGGCAATTGTGTGCCCAATTTCAATGCTTTGTTATCAGCATAGCCTATTCCTTTATATTATATCAGCAGTTCCAGATTGAAAAACAGCTTCTATCTCCAGGCCATCAGACTGTTGAACAGCCATCACTTACTGGCTACCTGCCCGGTACTCTGCCCTGCACCTTGAAACTTATGCCCCATGTATATATAGAGTCATTGTAGACTGGTCAGTATGTATATACTGTATTCTCGAAATAGCTCATCCTAATATACCTAGCTACAGTCGTGGTGAAAAGTTTTGAGAATGACACAAATATTAATTTTCACAAAGTCTGCTGCCTCAGTTTTTATGATGGCAATTTGCATATACTCCAGAATGTTATGAAGAGTGATCAGATGAATTGCAATTAATTGCAAAGTCCCTCTTTGCCATGAAAATGAACTTAATCCCCAAAAAAAACATTTCCACTGCATTTCAGCCCTGCCACAAAAGGACCAGCTGACATCATGTCAGTGATTCTCTCGTTAACACAGGTGAGAGTGTTGACGAGGACAAGGCTGGAGATCACTCTGTCATGCTGATTCAGTTAGAATAACAGACTGTAATCTTTAAAAGGAGGGTGGTGCTTGAAATCATTGTTCTTCCTCTGTTAACCATGGTTACCTGCAATTAAACACGTACCGTCATCATTGCATTGCACAAAAAGGGCTTCACAGGCAAGGATATTGCTGCTAGTAAGATTGCACCTGAATCAACCATTTATCGGATCATCAAGAACTTCAAGGAGAGAGGTTCAATTGTAGTGAAGAAGGCTTCAGGGCGCCCAAGAAAGTCCAGCAAGCGCCAGGACCGTCTCCTAAAGTTGATTCAGGTGCGTGATCGGGGCACCACCAGTGCAGAGCTTGCTCAGGAATGGCAGCAGGCAGGTGTGAGTGAACCTGCATGCACAGTGAGGCAAATACTTTTGGAGGATGGCCTGGTGTCAAGAAGGGCAGCGAGGAAGCCACTTCTCTCCAGGAAAAACATCAGGGACAGACTGATATTCTGCAAAAGGTACAGGGATTGGACTGCTGAGGACTGGGGTAAAGTCATTTTCTCTGATGAATCCCCTTTCCGATTGTTTGGGGCATCCGAAAAAAAGCTTGTGAGACAAGGTGAGCGCTACCATCAGTCCTGTGTCATGCCAACAGTAAAGCATCCTGAGACCATTCATGTGTGGGGTTGCTTCTCAGCCAAGGGAGTGGGCTCACTAACAATTTTGCCTAAGAACACAGCCATGAATAAAGAATGGTAGCAACACATCCTCCGAGAGCAACTTCTCCCAACCATCCAAGAACAGTTTGGTGACGAACAATGCCTTTTCCAGCATGATGGAGCACCTTGCCATAAGGCAAAAGTGATAACTAAGTGGCCCGGGGAACAACACATCGACATTTTGGGTCCATGGCCAGGAAACTCCTCAGACCTTAATACCATTGAGAACTTGTGGTCAATCCTCAAGAGGCGAGTGGACAAACAAAACCCCACAAATTCTGACAAACTCCAAGCATTGATTATGCAGGAATGGGCTGCCATCGGTCAGGATGTGGCCCAGAAGTTAATTGACAGCATGCCAGGGCGGATTGCAGAGGTCTTGAAAAAGAAGGGTCAACACTGCAAATATTGACTCTTTGCATAAACTTAATCTAATTGTCAATAAAAGCCTTTGACACTTATGGAATGCTTGTAATTATACTTCAGTATACCATAGTAACATCTGACAAAAATATCTAAAAACACTGAAGCAGCAAACTTTGTGAAGACCAATACTTGTGTCATTCTCAAAACTTTTGACCACGACTGTACATTTTCCTGCCAAATTATATACGGTCAGTGTCCATATTTATATTCTGGATTCTGACACTGTTCACTCTAATATATCTACCCCTGGATTGTTAGTTGGACTTGTTCTGTCATTTCTTGATTTCTTGTTTAGATGTTTTATGTACATTTTAGTCATTTAGCAGACGCTCTAATCCAGAGCGATTTACATGAGCAATTAGGGTTAAGTGCCTTGCTCAAGGGCACATCGACAGATTTTTCACCTAGTCGGCTCGGGGATTAGAACCAGCGACCTTTCGGTTACTGGCACAACGCTCTTAACCCCTAAGCTACCTGCCGCCCTATTTGTGTATTTGTGTTGTATTTGCTAGACATTCTACTGCCCTGATGGAGCTAGTTACATAAGCATTTCGCTGCACCTGTTTAAACACCTGCACAACTTTGATTTGATTTGAGATATTACATGAAATCCATGTTTGATGTGTGTCAATAGCTACTGGTTGACATGTAGGCTACAGTAATAGCATGGTGCTTACTACTCAAGGCATAGAGTTACCGGTGTCAGCATTGGTTCATGTTTTTCATTGGTCAATATATGCTGTGAGTAAGTGTAGCCATTTCCCAGGATAAGTGAGATAATGTAATATCTATTAATCACCTGGCCTAGATCCTTGTCATACATCGCATGGCCAAAAGTATGTGGACACCTGCTCATCAAACATCTCATTCCAAAAGCATGGGCATTAATATGAAGTTGGTCCCCCCCTTTGCAGCTATAACAGCCTCCACTCTTCTGGGAAGGCGTTCCACTAGATGTTGAAACATTGCTGCGGGGACTTGCTTCCATTCAGCCACAAGAGCATTAGTGAGGTCGGGGCACTGATGTTGGGCGATTAGGCCTCGATCCTAGTCGGCATTCCAATTAATCCCAAAGATGTTCGATGGGGTTGAGGTCAGGGTTCTCTGCAGGCCAGTCAAGTTCTTCCACACCGATCTCAACAAACCATTTCTGTATGGACCTCGCTTTGTGCACAGGGGCATTGTCATGCTGAAACAGGAAAGGACCTTCCCCAAACTGTTGCCACAAAGTTGGAAGAATGTCTAGAATGTCATTGTATGCTGTAGCATTAAGATTTCCCTTCACTGGAACTAAGGGGCCTAGCCTGAACCATGAAAAACAGCCCTAATTCATTATTCCTCCTCCACCAATCTTTACAGGTGGTACTATGTATTGGGAAAGGTAGCGTTCTCCTGGCGTCCGCCAAACCCCGATTCGTCTGTCGGACTGCCAGATGGTGAATTGTGATTAATCACTGCAGAGAACGCGTTTCCACTGCTCCAGAGTCCAATGGCGGCGAGCTTTACACCACTCCAGTCAACGCTTGGCATTGCGCATGGTGATCTTAGGCTTGTGTGCGGCTGCTCGGCCATGGAAACCCATTTCATGAAGCTCCCAACAAACAGTTATTGTGCTGACGTTGCTTCCAGAGACAGTTTGGTACTCGGTAGTGAGTTTTGCAACCGAGGACAGACTATTTTTACGCGCTTCAGCACTCGGCGGTCCCGTTCTGTGAGCTTGTGTGATCTACCACTTTGCGGCTGAGCCGTTGTTGCTCCTAGACATTTCCACTTCAAAATAACAGCACTTACAGTTGACCAGGACAGCTCTAGCAGGGCAGAAATTTGTTGGAAAGGTTGCATCCTATGACGGTGCCACGTTGAAAGTCACTGAGCTCTTCAGTATGGGCCATTCTACTGCCAATGTTTGTCTATGGAGGTTGCATGGCGGTGTGGTTGATTTTATACACCTATCAGCAACGGGTGTGGCTGAAATAGCTGAATCCACTAGTTTGAATGGGTGTCCACATACTTTTGTGTGTATCTTAGGCCTGCCCTAAAATCTGATAAATGTTACCGCACGACCCCCATCGCCCCATCTTCCTCGCAATGCCCGGATGCATGTTCTTGCTATGACTATTTCGAATACGATTTGTTTTTAAAAAAAATTTATTTTAGATTTTAAAATATACATTCTACACCGAAGTGAAGTCGCTCCAAACACCCCAAACCCTCCGGTTGTCCCCCGAGCTCCACCCATCCACCCTACATCTAGCTATGCCTAGCACTGATTTGACCTAAGAACTAAGGCAGAGCTACACTGCCTCCTCCATTGAAGTGTTTGGGGACTCAGAAGGTGTTCCACTAATTGATAACTAATATAACTAGGCCTACTCATATTAATTGTGAATTTGATTGTATGACAGACAGTAAATTATGAAATGGTGAATGCCTGGTGTTAACAAGTTTCCTTCCTTCCTTCCTTCCTTCCTTCCTTCCTTCCTTCTTCCACTTTCCCCTTTTCAAATCTACAGCTCATCAAGGTAGGACCATTTGTTTTTCACTCATCAGCACAGTCATCAATTCTGCAAAGAATTCCAGAATCTCTGGGAACATTGAGGCTGATTCCATCTCTTCTTCCTCTTCCTCCTCTTCCTCTTCTCCACAGGGATCCATTCCAGGCACACAACACGCATGTACAACAGATGATGCGGAGTTTCTCAGAGCCCTTCGGTCGGGACTTCATGCCCAGTCTGACAGGCGGGCATGACAGGGGCCGCGTAGCCAGGGGCCAACCCAACACTAGCATGGCGCTACGGGAGGACCACAGGGTGAGGACTGATGCTCTGACTGTGACACACTGACTTGGGTAGGGTGACTAGGGCCAATGTGTTGTTATGGTGACCCAGGTTTGGTCCCACACATAATAATAATAATAATATTTAATTTGTAAAGCGCATTTCCCACGCTCAATGCGCATGACACGAGTAGCCTTGGAGTATCGATATCGGCTAAACACATACAGATCCTGAACAGGATATGTCAGGTCAGGAGAGGGTTGTTGTTAGTTTGAATCTCAAACAGGTGACTGCCTCAGTGGCTCCAGTGCCTCAGTGCCTCTATCCTTAAGCTGGTCTTCTCACTTGGAGAGCATTTCCCTTTGGATTTGTTCTCCTTAGCCTGCTACCAGATCTGTTTGTTCTATCCTGTCAACTCCTTGTCAATCCAAACATTTGTTTGCACAAACAGATCTGGGACCAGGCTATGGTCTCTTGACTTGAGAAACAGAAACTGGCAACAATACCTTCCAGTGCATTGTAGATTCTCCCCATTCACTCGTACTCTCTTGGTGAAGGTGTGGAATCATATCCCTATCCCAGGGGTCGGTCAGTTCCTAGTACTGACCCACAAACTGTCCTCTTCATCTGGGTCAGTGAGTGAATGAACCCAAACACCTGCACCACCAACTCGCCCCCCCCCCATTCCAGCGCCCAGCATTCAAACAAACAAGAACGCTGACCAGCCTAAAGACAGAAAAAAAGGAAAGGGCTTAGGTTTACTGGGGTCGTGATGGAAAATGGCCATGGACGTGTAACCGGATCCCCCCTGCTGCCGGGTCAGGCCAGCGATGCTGTACTGCTTATTGAACCTCTGCTGCTGCTCTGCTGGGGCACTGGAGAGCATGGTGGGTTGTAGAAGGGCAACCCCCTCGCCTTTCTGGACAGCTATCTTTGGCCTGAGGAGGGTATATTTAGAGGATTGTTCCACTGACACACTGCTTTCTCACTCAAACACACCAATGCCCCAAGCTGTTGAAAAGACAAGTAAAAACAGACATGTTTGTTTTCATAGCTAGTTGGCCCGTGGTTAAATGCAGCAAATCTAAAAGGACAAACTGTACACATTTCTCACAACATTGGTTATGAGTTTATCACAATATAGTTCTGTTTTCACATAGGCTTGAATCCTGACTTGAGATCCTCGTACATAACGTTTTCGTGCAAATCATCCGTTGACATTAATGCATGATTGCCAAGTTAAGTGTGCGCAAAGTTAGGATTCAGTGTCTTGTGTGTAGTTCATTTTCTCTGTAAATATGAACAGTCCTGTTCCCCTCCTGAATGACAGTTTCATGACAGTTAAACACTAGTCTATTAGCTCAGCTTTGCAAAGCAGTTAGATACATTTTCTATCAGAAGGCAAATAGACCATGTAGGCTAGTGGGAAGGCCCCACCAAACATTTTTTATACCCCTACCCGAGGTAGAACGAAACACAACCATGATTTTTCACATCCCTAATGTCTCCCATTTATGAAATGGATGGTTGTGTAAAAATATTTTTCTGCAAAAGTGGTTAAATTGATAGATAATTTGACACACCCCCTAAACTTAAAAAGTACAGAATAATGCCTGGCTGAAGGGGGGTGGGCCACAGGCTCATGTAACCCAATATTGCAAGCTCTGAAATTGCTAAAATGTTGAATACAAGTAGTCAGTTGTCTGACATACACAAACAAACAGCATTAGGATATCGTAATGCATCTTGGAAATATAGACCTGTAAACACAGAGATACAATTGGTGGAAATGTAAACTATAAATATTTATGATGAATGTAAGCTTTACTTTTTGCTAGCTGATTAAATTATAACTTTTCATGTCAAATGTGCTCTCATTCAGTTCTGTATCATCCTGCCTGACATAAATACATACAGTTACACATGTTTTTTGATGTTGTGGCTGGTATAATTTGCTCTAAGGAAAGCAAGTGGGCTCCGACATCGGAATTAGATTAGATTTTTTCATAATTGTGTACAACACACGTGCACTATATATTGGGGCAGGTAGCGTTCTCCTGGCATCCGCCAAACCCAGATTTGTCCGTCAGACTGCCAGATGGTGAAGCGTGATTCATCACTCCAGAGAACGTGTTTCCACTGCTGCAGAGTCCTATGATGGTGAGCTTTACATCACTCCAGCCGACACTTGGCATTGCACATGGTGATCTTGTGTGCGGCTGCTCGGCCATGGAAACCCATTTCATGAAGCTCCCGACAAACAGGAGAACGCTACCTGCCCCCAATGCAAAGTGCCAACTGTAAAGTTTGGTGGAGGAGGAATATTGGTCTGGGGCTGTTTTTCATGGTTTGGGCTAGGCCCCTTAACGCTACAGCATACAATGACATTCAAGACGATTCTGTTCTTCCAACTTACATTTACATTTACATTTTAGTCATTTAGCAGACGCTCTTATCCAGAGCGACTTACAGTTAGTGCATACATTATTTTATCGAACCCACAACCCTGGCGTTGCAAACGCCATGCTCTACCAACTGAGCTACATCCCCTGCCGGCCATTCCCTCCCCTACCCTGGACGACGCTGGGCCAATTGTGCGCCGCCCCATGGGTCTCCCGGTCGCGGCCGGCTACGACAGAGCCTGGATTCGAACCAGTATCTCTAGTGGCACAGCTAGCACTGCGATGCAGTGCCTTAGACCACTGCGCCACTCGGGGCGGTTGCCAACTTTGTGGCAACAGTTTGGGGAAGGCCCTTTCCTGTTTCAGCATGGCAATGCCCCCGTGCACAAAGCCAGGTCCATACAGAAATAGTTTGTCGAGATCGGTGTGGAAGAACTTGACTGGCCTGCACAGTGCCCTGACCTCAACCCCATCGAACACCTTTGGGATGAATTGGAACGCTGACTGCGAGCCAGGCCTAATCACCCAACATCAGTGCCCAACCTCACTGCTGTTGTGGCTGAATGGAAGAAAGTCCCCGCAGCAATGTTCCAACATCTAGTGGAAAGCCTTTCCAGAAGAGTGGAGGCTGTTATAGAAGCAAAGGGGGGGGCCAACTCCATATTAATGCCCATGATTTTGGAATGAGATGTTCGATGAGCAGGTGTCCACATACTTAAGTCATGTAGTGTATGGTGGCAATGCACGCCAGCTCTTTCCAGGTGGCATTTTGGCTGTTGAATGGCCTACTGACATGTGACAGTCCAGTTCCATGGTGTCTCTGTATGTAGTAACTGCCAGAGGGGAGGACTGATGGTGGAGTGGAGCTATCGAGGACAGTTCTGGGAGATTCAGGATGGCATTGACATTGAAGAGGTGCAAATCCTATCATATGTGAAAGCCCAGTAAGTTCATGGCATTTCTTATCAATGAGTGTCAGGTTGTGTTGGTTCAATGTGGTGAACACCTGCCTTATGAGCTTGTCATCATATGTGGTTACATCCTCCCCATACCCCATAATGTCACCATGTCAACATGTACAGCAACTCCAGGGCAGACTGGGAGATTCAGGATGGCATTGACATTGGAGAGCTGCAATTCCTATGACATGCGAAGGCCCACTAAGTTGATGGCATTTCTTGTCAATGAGTGTCAGATTGATGGAGCTAACGTAATTGCAAGAGTAGGGGCTGAACAAATAAAATCTACAAAGGAACCTTTGACTGAAAACAATGAGAGTTTTCAGTGTTAGTTCTAGTTTGTTGACCATAACATTAATATGGTGACAACGATGTAGGCTTTGTAGCGTTTAGCGGTTATGGTATGAAGGTTTGGCTTGGAGAGGTTTTTGCGCCTTGTCACAGACAGCTGTTGTGTTGTGCACTGGAGTCCACAAGCGAAGGGAAAAGGTGAGAGGAAGAGAGTGTGTAGATGCGAGAACATTATAGAACGAGCAAAGTGATGATGCTGTATGTGGCTGTTATGAAAGTGAACTGTGTGTGCGGTTAATCAGAGTTGTATTCATTGCGCCAATTCTGTTGCAAAATGTTTCTTAAACGGAAGCAAACAGATCTAAACGAGGAGGGACCTACCTACATTTGTCCAATAGAAACTCTTGTTTTAGTTGCAAAACAGCAACCATCAATCAATCAATCAAATGTATTTCTAAAGCCCTTTTTACATCAGCAGTTGTCACTAAGTGCTTATACAGAAACCGAGCCTAAAACCCCAGAGAGCAAGCAATGCAGATGTAGAAGCACATTGTGGCTAGGAAAAACTCCCTAGAAAAGCTGGAATCTAGGAAGAAACCTAGAGAGGAACCAGACTCTGAGGGGTGGCCAGTCCTCTTCTGGCTGTGCCGGGTGAAGATTATAAGAGTACATGGTCATTAAGGCCAGATCGTTCTTCAAGATGTTCAAACATTCATAGATGACCAGCCGGGTCAAATAATAATCACAGTAGTTATAGAGAGTGCAACAGGTCAGCACCTCAGGAGGTGCAACTGTTTGGACTAATGATTACACACCCCAGATCAGCAAGATGGATGCAAGAGTGTGCAAGGCTGTATTGTCACCTTGATTACTTAAATTTGTTTCTCGACCCGTTATAAACGTTCATTTTTAGGCTAGGTTGTAGCAACCTCATGATGGGTATAGGGCAAATTCGAGTGTCATGTAGTAGCCTACTAGCCTAAACCTATCAATGTTACATTGAGCTGGGTGAATGGAATATGAATGACAGTCATCCATTATGCTGTAATAGAAATAAGGCCATGCTCATTAAAAAGAATCGTCCTCCCTAATCTTAAACAGCACTAGGGTTGCAAAGCTACCCGTAGTTTACCAAAGTTACTGGAATCTTCATTACTTTTGGTCTATGGCAATTTATCGTAACTTTGGTCATTTATACTTGAATAACTTTTTAAAAATATATTCATATATATAGTATAAAAAAATATATATTTGTGTCCATATTGTCCATGAGATTCTAGTAGATAGACCATATGGTTCAAGAGAAAATAGCCTAATTAATGAAAAAAGCATCTAATCAACAATGGCATTATTTTCAATTTTCAATCCAATATTGACTTTTTTCACAACTGCTGCCACCATTTTAATGCAAAAACATTGACAACAAATGCGTACTGACATAGTAAAATAAATAAAAACTGTGTAAAACAAATACAAAGGATATTTCGCTGAAACCCTCATGAAACACCAATGGTATTCACTAAGTTGATGGTTTATATTAAGGATAATGTTCACAGCTTTGTCATTCAATTTTTTTTGTTGAAAATCAATATATTTAAGACCAGAGAGCGGGCCAGAGATAATTACAGACACCTGTAGAAATCTGTAGTACCCAAAAGGGCCACTAGATGTCTTGTGATATATTACATAAAATCCTTGAAAGATTCCAAAATTCTGGTAGTTTACTAGTAAACTTAGAAAGATTCCAGTAATATACCCTCCCTTTGCTACTTTAAACGGCACCAACCGCCACCGCTCAAAATCTCAAGCCCCTTTTGAGGATTGGCCACTAGTCTAATGGTCAAATTCATTACGACATTAAAATGTTTTGCAACAGATTCCGAAAATGAGTCCAAGTTGTCTCTCCCTTTTTCAGTCCGTTTTCCTCAGTTTGGTGCCTAATGAACATGACCCAGATCTGTCTAATGGGCCTCTGCTCCCATTTCCCCCTGAAGACACCTTCTCTCTCCCAGTTGGAAGGTCTCATGATGACCGGGCAGCTGCCCTGCTCTAGAAGCCCTGAGGTGCTAAACTTAGTCCCTGTGTCCCTCGCTAATCTTGCGCCCCTCCCTGTGTGCCAAGTATATTTATCCCTGGTAATTACTTTCAACGGATGCCAGCCTCAGCTCTCTCTCGCTGCTCGCAACCCTGTTCCTTTCTATTAGTCCTCTCCTCTCTCTCTCTCCTCACAGAGGCAAGCACGCCGAGTGGACTCTCGTTGAGTACAGCACAGAGAGACTGTGTGCATCCCAAATGGCACCCTATTCCCTAAAGTAGTGCACTACATAGGTCATAAGCACTACATTAGGAATAGGGTGCCATTTGGGATGCAGCTACTGTTTTAGAGAGCTTTAAAGAGCGCTACTGTAGCTAGCTAGCTCACAGTTGAAGCTGTCGTTAGTAAGAGCATGTGTGTGGTGCACTGTGCACAGCGGTGGCTAGTTCTGTAGCAGTGGGCTGTTGTAGGGATCTTTGAAAAACTACTGGTTGATGCAGGGCCGGATTAAGAAATCATAGGTCCCGGGGCTTTGTTTTTTTAAATAAAAAATTGTTTCTATTGATTCTACAGACAGATTAGTCTTCTCTTTTTAGCAGTAGGCATTTGCTTTCCAAACTGTACGTTTTCCCGCAATTGTATTTTAAAATCTGAAAAATACAAAGCGACAGCCGCAACCAACCATAGAAATATAATCCATATATGGCAGTTCCCATTCAAGTCAGGACTGGCATCCATTGCTAGTGTACCCATGAGTTTAACAGTCAAATTGCCAGGGTAAGAGGTTACAAAACCCTTCTATGGATGATATGTCTATAGCCACAGCACAACAAGCTGTATATTTGGCGCGCAAGCTGCCCAAACTGCGGTCTTCCCGACTGTAGGCATACCTCTAACTGCCAAAATAAAGTAAACACTTGAGCAACTGAGGTTACAAAGTATATGTTATGGTGCGGGGTGCATTATCCTGGCAGGTTTCGGTCCGCTTGGAGAATCTATGCCAAGGTGCATTGGAGCTGTTCTGGCAGCTCGAGGTGGACCAACACCCTTTTTAAGACACTTTATGTTGGTGTTTCCTTTATTTTGGCAGATACCTGTATGCGCTTGTGATAAAACTTAATCCACTGTTATTTTTTATGAACTATTGATCCTCTGTGGCTAAATTATGCTCTCTGTTGTATTTTGAACATTGAGAGTGGGTCCTGTGGTTGGATAACAAATTATTATAATAATAACAAATAATGTTATTTATTTTTGGTAATTTATTTTTACTCTTGACCCAGCCCCTGACTCACACAATTGACCAGTCACATTTATTTAATATGCATTTTTATTTTTTATGAATCAGTAACCCATTCAAGGCAGGGCCCCCCCCGTTACCCACATGGGCCCCCTACCTCCTGTCCTCTCCCCAGCTGATGATTAGCAGAGCGGCAGCAGCAGGCTGTCTACACTGATTGAGAGCGGGCACCTGAGTCCTCCTGTGGTTGGCAGTTGCAGTAAAAAAAATATATAGAGTGCATTCGGAAAGTATTCAGACCCCTTGACATTTTACACAGTTACATTACATTATAGCCGTATTCCAAAATGGATTAAATCTAAACACAATACCTCATAATGACAAAGCAAAAACAGGTTTTTAGACATCTTTGCAAATTTATTAAAAATAGAAAACTGAAATATCACATTTACATAAGTACTCAGACCGTTTACTCAGTACTTTGTTGAAGCACCTTTGGCAGCGATTACAGCCTCAAGTCTTCTTGGGTATGACGCTACAATCACCCAACACACCTCCAGGTTGACTGTGCCTGTAAACAGCTTGGAAAAGTCCAGAAAAGTATGTCATGGCTTTAGAAGCTTCTGATAGGCTAATTGACATCATTTGAGTCAATTGGAGGTGTGCCTGGGGATGTATTTCAAGGCCTACCTTCAAACTCAGTGCCTCTTTGCTTGACATCATGGGAAAATCAAAAGAAATCAGCCAAGACCTCAGAATTTTTTTTGTAGACCTCCACAAGTCTGGTTCATCCTTGGGAGCAATTTCCAAACGCCTGAAGGTACCACGTTCATCTGTACAAATAATAGTACGCAAGTATAAACACCATGGGACCACGCAGCCGTCATACCGCTCAGGAAGGAGATGCGTTCTGTCTCTTAGAGATGAACGTACTTTGGTGCGAAAAGTGCAAATCAATCCCAGAACAACAGCAAAGGACCTTGTGAAGATGCTGGAAAAAGGGGGTAACTTGCAAGCCGAAGAACGCCATCCCAACCGTGATGCACGGGGGTGGCAGCATCATGCTGTGGGGGTGCTTTGCTGCAGGAGGGACTGGTGCACTTCACAAAATAGATGGCATCATGAGGAAGGAAAATGATGTGGATATATTGAAGCAACATCTCAAGACATCAGTCAGGAAGTTAAAGCTTGGTTAAAGCTAAATGGGTCTTCCAAATGGATAATGACCCCAAACATACTTCCAAAGTTGTGGCAAAATGGCTTAAGGACAACAAAGTAAAAGTATTGGAGTGGCCATCACAAAGCCCTGACCTCAATCCTATAGAACATTTGTGGGCAGAACTGAAAAAGCGTATCCGAGCAAGGAGGCCTACAAACCTGACTCAGTTACACCAGGTCTGTCAGGAGGAATGGGCCAAAATTCACCCAACTTATTGTGGGAAGCTTGTGGAAGGCTAACCAAAACGTTTGACCCAAGTTAAACAATTTAAAGGCAATGCTACCAAATACTAATGTATGTACATTTCTGACCCACTGGGAATGTGATGAAAGAAATAAAAGCTGAAATAAATCACTCTCTACTATTATTCTGACATTTCACATTCTTAAAATAAAGTGGTAATCCTAACTGACCTAAGATAGGGAATTTCTACTAGGATTAAATGTCAGGAATTGTGAAAAACTGAGTTTAAATGTATTTGGCTAAGGTGTATGTAAACTTCTGACTTCAACTGTGTGTGTATGTATGTATGTATGTATGTATGTATGTATGTATGTATGTATGTATGTATGTATGTATACAATATATAATTCCTTTATAATATTTGTTTGAAAAACAAAATGCTTCTTCTTGGGCCCCCTTCTTGGGCACGCTTCCATCTGCTTGGCAAGCGTGCTCTGGCACCCACTGCAGAAGGCTTATCAGCTATGACAGATATTATTGCTCCCCTACCGATCTCAAGTATCAGGCATGCTTTAGTGAATCCACCCCCTGTATCAGATACATGCATACACGAGCACACACACACACACATCAGCAAACGCACGGACGCATTCACATACGCGAACACACACACAACACACACACACCACACACATGAGCAACACACGCACACACACACACACACACATTCACGGCATCGTTGAAGAAAAGCTGCTGCTTTTATTGGCAGTTTGCTGAGCATTCGATCCACCCAGTCTGTGAATATGTTCCGTCTTCCCTCAAAGGTTGTTTGGGATATCACATTTCCTTCCCTTCCTTCATACACAACTACTTGCTTACTTGATATCACCTTTCATAAAATACATTGGATTCAGAGGAGTTTGTTTCATTTCAGTTCACTTTATTTATGTGTTTTGATTATAAAAGGAAATGGGCACTTTGTCGCTAAAGTTAGGCCTGCTCTCTGTATCATTAATCTGCTGACCAGTTAAAAAATGTTTGGGGTGGCATCTTTAGCCTCCCCAGTGGTCACTAACAGTTCCTAGAACCCATGCCTTCCCAGCTCGCCTATCCCTCCTATCCCTGAGAGCTGAAATAAAAGCCCAATGCCCTGGCCTCAGTGTGACTCATAGCTCCCCTTTGAACAGCGAGAACGGGGAATAGTGTAAGACGCGATGCCATGACAGGCTGTGAGGGGGGGAAAGGGACCATGAGCTCAAATAATCTAGCAGTAGCACAGCCGTCCCCAAAATAATGTGTTAAAGCCCCTCCGAGTCCATGCTCTACATTTTGCACTCTCAACCTCTGCCACCGTCTAAAAATATGCCCGCCACGGGAGTGTAATTGGCATTTATTTGTTCATAGATGCCATTCAGAGATATAATTGGCCCGTCGTGCTACGTACACGCCTGTCAGGGGCAGCGAGGAGCGTTTTACATCACTGTGACCTTTGGAAAAGAGCTGAGCGAGCAGCCGAGATAGACCCAGACTCTTCGCCCCCCGCCCGCCCGTTGGGTCCTTGCAGGGTTTCTCAGAACGAGGATCTGTTTTCAGTGTTAAACCCCCTGTAATCCATGGCAACAGGTCCCAATTACACGGAGAGCAGAGCTCTCTCAACACTCTCTCAAGGCTGAGCTCCAGCCTTCAGCCCAACCTCTCTCTCTCTCTCTCTCTCTCTCTCTGGTGTCTGTGTCCACATACGGTGCCCCTTGCCTGGGTTGGGGTGTTTGGGATGCCTGCCCAGGTCTCCAGGAGTTATAAACACCCTGGGGTAGAGAATCAGGGGAGCAGCGGCTAAGACTGAAAGAGAGTCTTTCTCCTAATTTGCACATTCAGCAGGTTCAAGGCCCTATGGAAATGTGGGAAGGGCTCAGGTTCTGATTCACAGTGTAATATAACTAGAGAACAAAGCTAAAGAGTCTATAGACTACATACTGAGAACAAACTGAATACATTTGTAAAGATGGCCACTATTTTGTGTTTATGAGCCTGCCTGCCTCAGTGGTGCTTTGTCAGGCTTCTTTGTGCGTGCGTGTGTGTGTGCGTGTGCGTGTGTGTGTGTTGCTGCTGCTCTGCACGCTATGTTCATTCTGTATTGTACTGCTTTTCAGGGGATGAGCCAGTCGCTTTCGCCTTTCAGCAGTGTTGATAGCACGGTTAGTAAGGCAGACTGCTCAAATGCTATGATGCAGCACGATTCCTTGTTTCATCCCCAAACTGACCATTAGCACGTACTAACCCCCTCACTTACACTATGTCTTTATAGACACACACAGCAAGTTTGAAACTAGCTGAATTTATCGTAATACCATAATATCGGTTTGATTGTGAATCTGAGCAAAGGCCACATTCACAGTGCACGTGTGATGTCAAATTGGTAAGATGTGAGAGTATGCATGTGTTTACCCCATACCAAGTGTATGTGTAGGCTTACTAGGCTACATGTGGGTATGTGTGCGTGCGATCAGTATCAGTGGCCTGGTTGTTTACGAGCTGCTTGACCCCTCCCGTCGAGGGTGTTGGGTCGAATATTATGGCTGGCTGGTACCTATGGTGGCTCAGCCTAGCACTCTAGCTCACTCTAGCAGACCTAGGAGACCTGTGGTTAGTTACTGTAACTTACACTCCACTACAAGAGAGACTAGGATCATGTGGTTGGGTCGAGTCTTGTAAAACAGTCAAAGAGCTCTATTTAGCCAATGACAGGCACAGGATGTTGATTTAAAGCCCTATTGGCTCTGGTAAAAAAAAGTTCTGCACTATAAAGGGGATAGGGTGCCGTTAAGGACACAGCCTAAAGCTACATTAACTTATCAGTGTGATTCTTGCAGTTGTGATGTGTTTTTCCACATCACAAAGGTTGCATATGCCCAACTAATGCACGCTACTTAAACATATCTGTCCACTGAAGTGACAACATGTCAATGGAAAGTAAACAAGGAGAATTTAGAGTAGTGTATCTCTGAAGAATGGATTTTTGAAAGATTTCCAATACAGTTAGCCTACATTTCTAAATAGATTTCAACAAACTAGATGATGATATAATTGTTATGCTAGTGCAGCATGGGGTGAATCCTTACTTTAGCTTAAGTCAAGCTTTCACACAGTCATGTATTGATGTCAATGGGAAAATAAGTGAAAATTCGACTTGAGTGAAGGTTTTGCCCCTATAATGGCACAGCGTGGATGGAGGTTTTATATAGGATAGTATATGGATGTCTGTTGTAATGGTGGGATGGACCATAAAGTTAGTTCTGAATGGCCATTGTTCTTGTTCTCTCTGCAGGACATGGAGTTGAGGAACCCATTCAGTATGTTGGACAGCATGATGTTCGGCGTGAGGAACAGGATGGAGGACATGCACAGAAACTTTGTGGGTCACGTTGTGTCTCTTCTAATACCCCACACAGCCCATACAAATAGAATTACTAGAAGGGGCATAGTATTAATTAATTAATTAATTATATTTCTATGACAGACTTTGTTCATCATTGTTTTAGCATGTGTGTTCTACATGGCTTTATACTCACGTCAATCTGTGTGTGTGTGTGTGTGTGTGTGTGTGTGTGTGTGTGTGTTGTTTTCCAGGAGAACCTGTCCACAGACTTGAACGCCAACACCAACGCCCACTCATTCAGCTCCTCCTCAGTGATGACCTACTCCAAGGTTGGAGACGAACCCCCCAAGGTGTTCCAGGCCTCCTCCCAGACACGGCGCGCCCCTGGCGGGGTACGTACACTCAAATATGGCCAGAGATAATGCTGAGAGGCTGGGGGAGGTCTCTCTAAGCTGGTAATGCACTGAACACTAAGGGAAAGGTCCTTTATGAGAACTGCAAGAGCACAGAGCCATATAGAGAGTATATGAAGAGTTGAGTTCCAAAACGCTATACTGTATCCATTTTCAGAAATGTTGGTAAATTAGCTTTTATTGTTTAAATAAATTATTTATGTTTTTTCACTATCTAATCATGGCATGGGGTTGTTCAATAACAGACATGTATTTGTTTAGAAATCGATCACTTTATGGTTTCATTTCAGATATTTTTTTTGCAAAATGCTATATATTTCTCTCAGAGAAATAAGTAGTACTGCTAGGTTTTACACAGTCAAATGTTACAAATACTTTTTTTGTATATAAAGAACTGTACAAATGTGAAATTTGGAACACTCATTTTTTCTTTTTACAAATGATTAAATACAGTAATATGAGATCTTTATGTAAAACATTTACATTTGACATTTTAGCCATTTAGCAGATGCTCTCATCCAGAGCAACTTAAAAGTAAGTGCATTCATTTTAAGATAGCTAGGTGAGACAACCACATATCACAGTCAAATATACAGGATACGAACATTCCATTCCAGCTGAGTGTACAAAACATTAAGAACACCTTCCTAATATGTAATACTGTTGAGCGTGAAAAACCCAGCAGCGTTGCAGTTCTTGACACACTCAAACTGGTGCGCCTGGCACCTACTACCATACCCCGTTCAAAGGCACTCAAATATTTTGTCTTGCCCATTCACCTTCTGAATGGCACACATACACAATCCATGTCTCAATTGTCTCAAGGCTTGAAAATGATTCTTTAACCTGTCTCCTCCCCTTCATCTACACTGATTGCAGTGGATTTAACAGGTGACATCAATAAGAGATCATAGCTTTCACCTGAAATCTATGAATTAAAGATCTGTATAATATTGTACACACACATGAAGGTACCCATAAGCAATCATTTCAGATGTGTTTTGGAAATAAACTCTTCATATAGAGTTAGGCCTTTTGGTTTCAGTTTTTTTAAGCATTTACACGAAAATAACATCTGGCAAAACTATATGTCTGACACAGCAAGAGTTTCTGACGCTGGCTTTCTCAGTCCTTATTGGCCGTTGCCTCTTTGGTAACTCATTCCGATTGGCTGTCCCCGTGTCTAGGTTAAGGAGACTCGGCAGTCCCTGAAGGACTCAGAGAGCGGCCTGGAGAAGATGTCCATTGGACACCACATCCAGGACCGAGGACATGTGGTGGAGAAAAAACAGAACAAGAAGACAGGGGAACGGGAGCTCAACCAGGACTTCCAGAATCTGGATGAATGTAAGTCAGCTGTAGTGTAAGGGGGTCCGCATCCCAAAAAAACCCAAAGGGTAACACTTTACTTTAACCCTGCAGGTAATATGCATTATGATGTGGTTATAGTGAATTGTAAGACATGTTGTAAGAATGTATCACCCCCTTATGTCTTATCATCTCATAATGATCCTTACTTGAGTCCGTTGAAAATGTACTATATAAAGAGACATAACATATTATAAGCCTTATAATAAAACATTACAAAGGCGCATAAATGCTTATAACAAGTAATAACACATTATACTTGCGGTCTTTAAGTAAAGTGTTACCAAAAATGTAATAAAAGTGTTTTTTATGATGCTTTGATCATTATTTTAAGGCATGTAGGCTATAATCAGTGTTCGATGAATAGTCATAAACAAAGACATAGAATTTACTATCAGAGGACTCTCCTCTCCCAGCTCTGTTTGGGGTTTGGAGTCTGAGACATTCCATAGACCACAGTTATGTTCCTATCTCAGAAAAAATAAGGTATTCAGATTCCATGGAACTGCCCCTCGCCAGGCTCATCACAGCATCCCACAGAGTGATACATAAACTGTTCCTAACCCCTGACCTCTGCCCTTTACACTCATAGCCGAGGCGCAGTCCTTTGACGAAGAGTGGCAGCAAGAGGTGTCTAAATTCCGACCATTTGCCCCCATGTCCCGTCTGGAGGCCCCCAAGCCCAGGGCGGTGCACCGGGCAGCCCTCACCGCCGCCAGCGGCCCTGACCAGGGACGGAGGTCAGTCATCATGTGTCATAGGTCATATAATGACACGTAGGACAGGTCCGCTCGAGGAGGAGTGGCCGTAAACCAAAACAAACCATTTCTGGATGCTACATCACTTTGAATTTAGGTTATGATTGGAATGTCAAGTATTATACTATGGTTGATAAACGGTTTATTGAAATGTAGGTTGATGAATAAATGATTTATGTCTGCTTTGTCGTTTTCCCCCTCAGGGACAAACCAAACCCAAAACCTGAAGGAAGGAAAATGCACATCGACGATCTCAACGTCAAAGGCTCAGGCATGACGAAGCAGTAGAAATGTCTAGCGAATAAAGCTATGTCAGGCAACAGCTCTTTGATGCTTTTACCTGTCTCCAAGACAAGCTTGGTTTCCAGGTACTTTGTCTCACAGAAAATCAGAATGACCCAATTGTTGATATGCCTTTTACCCATTCATTTTCACAGTACCAAGTAAAGAACACTTGTCAATGAAGTCAGGCACTTATTCTGTCAGCGTAGATCCACACAAGTTTCTTCCAAAAAGCTCAGTACTCCTGTGGAAGTAGCATTAAGATAGGGACACCATAAGCTAATAGCAAGTGATATATGATTTCAGAATCATCACGAGAGCAGACATCATTTGTCACAATTAGATAAAACAGTATATATGTCTATCATTGGGAATCAGATCAATGTCAGTGGTGTCTCAAATACTATCCTTCTGCTTTTGGAAATATCATGTTCACATTGTATAGATTGCATCAAAAGGAAACACATACAGTATCTCACAAAAGTGAGTACACCCCTCACATTTTTGTAAATATTTGAGTATATCTTTTCATGTGACAACACTGAAGAAATGACCATTTGTTACGATGTAAAGTAGTGAGTGTACAGCTTGTATAACAGTGTACATTTGCTGTCCCCTCAAAATAACTCTACACACAGCCATTAATGTCTAAACCGCTGGCAACAAAAGTGAGTACACCCCTAAGTGGAAATGTCCAAATTGGGCCCAAAGTGTCAATATTTTGTGTGGCCACCAACATTTTCCAGCACTGCCTTAACCCTCTTGGGCATGGAGTTCACCAGAGCTTCACAGGTTGCCACTGGAGTCCTCTTCCACTCCTCCATGACGACATCACAGAGCTGGTGGATGTTAGAGACCTTGCACTCCTCCACCTTCCGTTTGAGGATGCCCTACAGATGCTCAATAGGGTTTAGGTCTGGAGACATGCTTGGCCATTCCATCACCTTTACCCTCAGCTTCTTTAGCAAGGCAGTGATCGTCTTGGAGGTGTGTTTGGGGTCGTTATCATGTTGGAATACTGCCCTCCGGCCCAGTCTCCGAAGGGAGGGGATCATGCTCTGCTTCAGTATGTCACAGTACATGTTGGCATTCATGGTTCCCTCAATGAACTGTAGCTCCCCAGTGCCGGCAGCACTCATGCAGCCCCAGACCATGACACTCCCACCACCATGCTTGACTGTAGGCAAGACACACTTGTCTTTGTACTCCTCACCTGGTTGCCACCACACACGCTTGACACCATCTGAACCAAATACGTTTATCTTGGTCTCATCAGACCACAGGACATGGTTCCAGTAATCCATGTCCTTAGTCTGCTTGTCTTCAGCAAACTGTTTGCGGGCTTTCTTGTGCATCATCTTTAGAAGAGGCTTCCTTCTGGGACGACAGCCATGCAGACCAATTTGATGCAGTGTGCAGCATATGGTCAGACCACTGACAGGCTGACCCCCCACCCCTTCAACCTCTGCAGCAATGCTGGCAGCACTCATTCGTCTATTTCCCAAAGACAACCTCTGGATATGACGCTGAGCACGTGCACTCAACTTCTTTGGTCGACCATGGCGAGGCCTGTTCTGAGTGGAACCTGTCCTGTTAAACCGCTGTATGGTCTTGGCCACCGTGCTGCAGCTCAGTTTCAGGGTCTTGGCAATCTTCTTATAGCCCAGGCCATCTTTATGTAGAGCAACAATTCTTTTTTTCAGATCCTCAGAGAGTTCTTTGTCATGAGGTGCCATGTTGAACTTCCAGTGACTAGTGTGAGGGAGTGTGAGAGCGACACCTGCTCCCCATTCACACCTGAGACCTTGTAACACTAACGAGTCACATGACACCGGGGATGGAAAATGGCTAATTGGGCCCAATTTGGACATTTTCACTTAGGGGTGTACTCACTTTTGTTGCCAGCCGTTTAGGCATAAATAGCTGTGTGTTGAGTTATTTTGAGGGGACAGCAAATTGACACTGTTATACAAGCTGTACACTCACTACTTTACATTGTAGCAAAATGTATTCAGTGTTGTCACATGAAAAGATATACTCAAATATTTACAAAAATGTGAGGGGTGTACTCACTTTTGTGAGATACTGTATATATTTATGCAGTTACACATTTGAAGTCCATAAGTGCATTTAGATGTCAAAATGATGTGCTTTTTTGTGTAGTGGCCATTGTTTTATTAATGTATTTTACCTGCTGTAATCTTTGTAAAAAATTATAATACCCTTTTTATATTGTTATTTGACGTGGGTTTCTCTTGTTTTTCACCATGCTATTAATTTATCCTTTAAAACACTGAATTTATGGTTGGGATGAAAGTGTCCGGTTAATTCTGAAATATTCTTATCATGGGATTCTTATAGATTGACCTCATAAGATCCTCAATTTGAAAATAAATATTTCATTTCAAAAGTGAATGGCAGCAGTCTATTCTTAAAACTGAGTGTGTATTTTGAAGGTTCCAAAACATCCTTGTATTTGACTGTCATCAAGCAGTGTGTTTATCACTGTCCAGAGTGTGTGATACTGTATGGGAGCGCTACTGGCTGTGCCTGTGTGGCAAATACATCTAGAAGGGTATTTTTGGAACAGACCTGTCAGTGACTCAGAGATGTCTGAGCGGTCGCACACAGCTGTTATGAAACCAGCGCTCTCTCACATCACGTGCCCCATCATGTGCTCCTGATTTAGTTGAACTTTTATTTATTTATGTCTCGTCGCATTTATATCAAGTGGGAAAATATATTAAGGAATCACCTATGACGTTAACTCAACAAATGTCCATATATGCAGGCTTCTGAATTAGAAGTTAAGAGGCAGGGTCACAGGGGTGGCCTCTTGCCTCAGGTTTCACAGGACAAAGTTGCATAACTCTTCAGTGTGTTTATGTAACAAGGTAAATGGCCCATCTAGCTTAACAGGGATGCAGAAATTAGCCAAGTCAGTAATATCGTCTGGGTGTTAGGATTCAGAGGGAATGTGTGAAGTGGCTTTCTCTCCTCGATTTGCACTGATCTGACTGTGACAATACATGATAGGTAAGAGATTAAAATGATGGCTCATGGATGCCTACCGGGAATTTGCTTTCCCCTGACCAGTTCCATCACCTCAGGGCAGATGACGGAAAGGAGACAAGAGGCCGTTTAAGACTATTTCCCTCTAGTCTCGCTGGGCCATCTTTTCATATCTCGTCAAAACCTGGGTGTCCAAGGCTACCTTAACTCAAACATCTTCATTTGTTCTTCTGTGACACACATATACAGTGGGGGAAAAAAGTATTTAGTCAGCCACCAATTGTGCAAGTTCTCCCACTTAAAAAGATGAGAGAGGCCTGTAATTTTCATCATAGGTACACGTCAACTATGACAGACAAAATGAGGAAAAAAATCCAGAAAATCACATTGTAGGATTTTTAATGAATTTATTTGCAAATTATGGTGGAAAATAAGTATTTGGTCAATAACAAAAGTTTCTCAATAATTTGTTATATACCCTTTGTTGGCAATGACACAGGTCAAACGTTTTCTGTAAGTCTTCACAAGGTTTTCACACACTGTTGCTGGTATTTTGGCCCATTCCTCCATGCAGATCTCCTCTAGAGCAGTGATGTTTTGGGGCTGTCGCTGGGCAACATGGACTTTCAACTCCCTCCAAAGATTTTCTATGGGGTTGAGATCTGGAGACTGGCTAGGCCACTCCAGGACCTTGAAATGCTTCTTACGAAGCCACTCCTTTGGTGCCCGGGCGGTGTGTTTGGGATCATTGTCATGCTGAAAGACCCAGCCACGTTTCATATTCAATGCCCTTGCTGATGGAAGGAGGTTTTCACTCAAAATCTCACGATACATGGCCCCATTCATTCTTTCCTTTACACGGATCAGTCGTCCTGGTCCCTTTGCAGAAAAACAGCCCCAAAGCATAATGTTTCCACCCCCATGCTTCACAGTAGGTATGGTGTTCTTTGGATGCAACTCAGCATTCTTTGTCCTTCAAACACGACGAGTTGAGTTTTTACCAAAAAGTTATATTTTGGTTTCATCTGACCATATGACATTCTCCCAATCCTCTTCTGGATCATCCAAATGCACTTTAGCAAACTTCAGACGGGCCTGGACATGTACTGGCTTAAGCAGGGGGACACGTCTGGCACTGCAGGATTTGAGTCCCTGGCGGCGTAGTGTGTTACTGATGGTAGGCTTTGTTACTTTGGTCCCAGCTCTCTGCAGGTCATTCACTAGGTCCCCCCGTGTGGTTCTGGGATTTTTGCTCACCGTTCTTGTGATCATTTTGACCCCACGGGGTGAGATCTTGCGTGGAGCCCCAGATCGAGGGAGATTATCAGTGGTCTTGTATGTCTTCCATTTCCTAATAATTGCTCCCACAGTTGATTTCTTCAAACCAAGCTGCTTACCTATTGCAGATTCAGTCTTCCCAGCCTGGTGCAGGTCTACAATTTTGTTTCTGGTGTCCTTTGACAGCTCTTTGGTCTTGGCCATAGTGGAGTTTGGAGTGTGACTGTTTGAGGTTGTGGACAGGTGTCTTTTATACTGATAACAAGTTCAAACAGGTGCCATTAATACAGGTAACGAGTGGAGGACAGAGGAGCCTCTTAAAGAAGAAGTTACAGGTCTGTGAGAGCCAGAAATCTTGCTTGTTTGTAGGTGACCAAATACTTATTTTCCACCATAATTTGCAAATAAATTCATTAAAAATCCTACAATGTGATTTTCTGGATTATTTTCTCTCAATTTGTCTGTCATAGTTGACGTGTACCTATGATGAAAATTACAGGCCTCTCTCATCTTTTTAAGTGGGAGAACTTGCACAATTGGTGGCTGACTAAATACTTTTTTTCCCCACTGTACATATACAGTACCAGTCAAAAGTTTGGACACACCTACTCATTCAAGGGTTTTTCTTTATTTTTACAATTTTCTATATTGTAGAATAATAGTGAAGACATCAAAACTATGAAATAACACACATGGAATCATGTAGTAACCAAAAAAATCAAAATATGTTTCAAATTTGAGATTATTCAAATAGCCACCCTTTGCCTTGATGACAGCTTTGCACACTCTTTGCATTCTCTCAACCAGTTTCAACTGGAATGCTTTTCCAACAGTCTTGAAGGAGTTCCCACATGCTGAGCACTTGTTGGCTGCTTTTCCTTCACTCTGAGGTCCGACTCATCCCAAACCATCTCAATTTGGTTGAGGTCGGGCGATTGTGGAGGCCAGCTCATCTGATGCAGCACTCCATCACTCTCCTTCTTGGTAAAATAGCCCTTACACAGCCTGGAGGTATGTTGGATCATTGTCCTGTTGAAAAACAAATGATAGTCCCACTAAACCCAAACCAGATGGGATGGTGTATTGCTGCAGAATGCTGTGGTAGCCATGCTGGTTAAGTGTGCCTTGAATTCTAAATAAATCACAGACAGTGTCACCAGCAAAGCACCCCACACCATAACACCTCCTCCTCCATGCTTTACGGTGGGAAATACACATGCGGAGATCATCCGTTTACCCACACCGCGTCTCGCAAAGACACGGCGGTTGGAACCAAAAATCTCACATTTGGACTCCAGACCAAAGGACACATTTCCACCGGTTTAATGTCCATTGCTCGTGTTTCTTGGCCCAAGCAAGTATCTTCTTCTTATTGGTGTCCTTTAGTAGTGGTTTCTTGAATGAGTAGGTGTTCTAAAACTTTTGACCGATACATAACATTTATGTAAAAGTAAGAGAGACAAATTAAAGTGAGTAAAAAAGGTTTATTATAATTAAGACAAAGCTACTCTGCCACACAGAGGTTTGCAGTTCGGTTGAATAGTATCTGATATTGGACAGCGTTGGTACAGAATTCCAACTCATGACTCGGTCACCCCTCTGGTGGTCATATTAAGTAATGTGCACTACTTGTGACAAAACAAAATAATAATATTTACATCTTAGGGCATACAAACTTGATTAAAGCTGAACTCCGCGGTAGTCAAAATGATCAGACTCGTTAATTTCTCTCTTGAATTCAGAACGGTGCTGTGCCAGAATTTGGACTACCAGAGCCCGGCGCGGTATATGGTTGGGAAAACGTACCTCAATCCAGAGATGGAATATTTCGCTGTACTCCTAATCGTCCCGAAATGATGAATGGTGAATCGAGAAGATTGAAATACTGATCGTTTTTAGTTAAACTGCCTTTTGTCTGCATGCTAGGTTAGCTAATGATATAGCAACCCATTAGATTCAACAACACTTCCGTTGTGTTGTTGAATTCCCCCCAACGCTAACCGTCGTATTTTCATGGAATCCAATTGGCTGCTATAGCATAAGCTAGCATGCTGACGAAAATGGTCAACATTCTGGCAAAGCACCGTTCCGACTCAAGAGAGAAATTAACGAGAGTCGGATCATTGTTGCTACTTTTCTGATTTTGCGGGGTAAGAAAAGTGATGAGGGGCATCCGTTAAACAGTTATTCAACTTTGTATGTCCTTATCAATCATTACAAAAAATATATAAATAACTTTAGAAAAAATAACAACCATGTGATGGTATAATGAAATGCCCATTATTACAGGATTCCTGGTGGCTGGCCTTTTCCTGCGATTTTCTTGGAGCACTCCAGTAGAGCATTGTGAATGTCTTTGGCGCAGGAGATCTGTGACTTGATCATGCTGAGGTACTGTGAGTAGGACAGGGACTCTGTCTGTACGGTATCAGGCTTGGTGGCTGTTGGGACCAGGTTAGGAGAGTGCTTGGCACTGTCAATGCTCTGGGATAAGCACTCGTAGGCAAGCCGCTATGGGGGAAGAAAAGAGGAGTAATAGTGAGCGGATGACCAGGCTGCCAACTTTATCGATTCATAAACTAAAATATATGTTATGGTGAATGATGCTAGGCACTCTAAAAGCTAAATATAAATAGGACATTTGTGTAGTAATAAGAGGTGGTGAACTATTTCATTTTGGGACACAATTTCACTGGAGCATGGAAATACAAGCAGGTTGTGTGTGTGTGTCTCACTAAGCAGAGTTCCAGCTGATCACACAGGGCATAAAACTCTTCCAGACTCTTGTCAAACCGCTGTACACTGGCATCACTGCTCTTTCTGAAACACAAAGGAAAGTTGTGCATCTCCAGTTCCAGAAAATACATGCTTATAGGCTGTGCATGTTCCATTGAGAGTTAGGGAAAAAGGGTACTTACATGCCATTGTCAATTGATGTATTATGTCCCAAATTTAAAGAGGCAATCTTCATGACATTCTAGACAGAAAATAATGCTTAGTTATCCTATATTTGGTGTAGCTACATTTCGCAATACCTGTACATAGCTATATGCATACATATTATATTCCATTAAAAAGCATTATCCCCCTATTCCCTGTCTCTGACCACTATTTGCAGTTCAACTAAAAAGGTAGCCATTAATAATATTGCCTAGTCAGACCATTATTACTGTTCCAGCTGGCTGATGGACGTTATTATTTAGGTAGTGTAAAGCGTAGCACAGAGAATTTGACCAACCTTTACTTGTCGATACTTCCTCAATTCCCGACATGGAAGACAACACATTGCTAGTTGCAGATGGTTCATTTGAATTTAGAAAATGCTCCATTATTAAATTTAAATCAATATTTTGCTCCAATAAGTAATCCAACAATGTGTACACCACCATCTTGTCTATTTCAAACCTTCTTGAGACAGGTGGGTGTCCACCCCAAAGTTCTGCATGTCATGAGTGCGACTCAGAAATCTTGAATGGGTTGAATTGGGCCGGGTCCTGGACCCTGCACCTATGATCGAAATTAGAGCCAGGCGGGTCTCCATCACCTTTGGTAATGCTAATTTTATAATGAAAAATTGTTGTCCACATTTAATATTTCCTCAGTCAACAACACGAGTAATCAACAGTTTACAACCCCATAGTAGAAGAGTTTACCTATTCAATTGGTCAGCTTGTCGCATTCTATGGGAGAAAATAATACTCCTCTGGGTGCTAGGGGTGGGCGATATGAGCTAAAATTCATATCACGATATTTTCCACTGTCCAGACGATATCGATATGATATCACGATATATGACGTAAAAAAATATGAATCACATTTTAATATCCCTTCTTGGTTAAATTATATTAGTTAAGGAAAAATATGTATTTGAACCTTATATAACCAGAAAGAGTGAGGCATTGGACCGTATGGACCTGAAAAGTTTTTATTTGTATTGTGCAAACATGCATTCCGTAAACATGAGGTAGGTAGGCCTATATATATATATATATATATATATATAAATTAGATATTAAGTAAAATTAAATAAAAAATAACAGGAGATAAAGAAAATAAGGTAATTACAAATTCAAATACGTGTGTTTGTTTTGGCTACGGTCCGTAGATATGTAAAAAACTAACCGTTTGAAACTAAACCTTTCAAGCCTCAACCATCAATTATCAACAATATCAACAAATCTTCACTAGAACTTTCTTCACAAGTTCCGTGCCAGGAATACCAGCATGTTGACTGTTTCTGGCTTTAGTGCTGCCCTGTGACATGTCACCACATTGCCCCCAGTGCTGAATGCCCTCTCAGAGGGGGCACTTGTGGCAGGGATGCATAAGTATTTCTTTGCCAGACAACTCACACGTGGAAAATTAGATCCGTGAAATCGCCACCACTCCAAAGGATCAGACTCGCTGTCTGCTGCCGTTGCCAGAATGTAGCTATTCAGCTCTTGCTCAATGATCTGCCTCTCTGAACATGAGGCAGGTGCACTGCTGGTCTGCTTAAAGAAGCTCCCAAGGCTCTTCTTGGGCTTCTTGCCTGATTGATGAGCAGTGGAAGCTTCTTTCTCCCTGTCAGTGTGATCCTCTGCAAGAGACGATTTTCCCAGGGCTGTGTTCTCCACCAGGAGGGCTTCGGTCTCTGAGGCAGCTCTCACCTTAAAAAATGAAAATAATTAAACTTTATTTGTATAGCACCTTTCATACATAAAATGCAGCCCAAAGTGCTTTACATTTGAAGCAATAAAACAAGAACAAATGAATAAATACCTTAATGTCCTCCAGTTTCTCAGCGGACATGTACCTGGTCTTGAACCTTGGATCTAGAAAGGTAGCCATGGAGAGCAGCTCATCTGTTGCAGGGTCAGTGTACTTGTTATTCAAGTAATCAAGAACCTTGATCTTGATCTCTTTGGTCAGTTCTGTATCGTCCTTGCTCAGATTTAGAACCTCTGCATTTAACAGATTGATGACAGGCTTCAAATAGGACACGCTCACATACGCTTCTCCTGACAGGGCATCTGTAAAGTCCTGGAGTGGCTTCAGTGCTGCTGTGACTGATTCCAAGACCTGGATGTCTTGCCAGGTAGGTACAAGGTGCCGTGTCTTTTTGTCCCCTGCCAGGACCTGTGTAATGGCCTTTTCCTGCTCCAGGACTCTTTCCATCATTTTCAGACGAGATCCCCACCTTGTCGGAGATTCTGTGATGAGCTTGTGCAGGGGCAGGCTTAGTTCATTCTGTGCTGTCATCAGGGCCTTCTGCTTTTTCCAGCTGTATGAGAACGTGCTAACCACCTTTTTGCAAACCCCTGTGGCCCGGGAAATCGCACACCCCTGTGGCCCGGGAGCGTTTTGGACACTCCTCTCTGGAAATTGGGAATAAGAAATCAAAATAATAGGGTGAAAAATAATCGAATCACAATACAATAATAATTAATAATAATGCATTTTTATATAGAAATCACAATACAATATAACTTTTAATCTTTGTTTGAGGATTTACGGCATTTACATTCAACTGTTACACATTTTACAAATCTGATGTGCTTAGATTTAGCCTACGGTACATGGCTGATGTGAGCTGTATTTTTTCTTAATAATAAGCATCATACAGGGTAGGCCTAGGCTACAGTCCTGAAACTTACCAATAGCATTGTGCAGCCTGTGTCCGAAACATCCAAGGTTTGCCCACTTGTTCAGCTGCAATGCCTTGATCATGTTCGATCCGCTGTCGGTCGTCATACAAACTTGACGCGACTCTTTTAATCCCCAGGACGACAGTATGTCCCTCAGCCCACCTGCAATTATTTCCCCGGTGTGGTCGTCTGGGAAATAAGACGTCTGTAGGCACTTACTTTTCAGTTTCCAGTCACCGTCTATGTAATGGATTGTGAGGCTTATATAAGGTTCTGTGGTACGACTTGACCATAGATCGGCAGTAGTGGAGAAGAATGGAATGTTATTTATCTCACTGTAAACTCTGTCCCAGCATTCTGTGTAAAGCTGTGGCAGGCATTTTTGGCTAAAATATTTGCGGCTCGGGATCTCATATCTTGGGTCCAGAGTTTGAATCAACTTTCTGAACCCCTCTTTCTCCACAGTTTGAATCGGTACCATGTCCTTCGCTATGTGATTTGTAATCGCAGCTGTGATGTCTATCCATTTTTTGCTCGTCTTCTCATAGCAAGTACCGGCAGCAAATGATGATATAATTGATTGTTGAGTGCGAGTCTGGCTTGTCTTCGGGCGAGCTCCTGGGCTTACTGTCTCACGCATTCTGGTGCATTGTTCATACTCACGGACATGTATGTTTTTTAAGTGATTGAACAGGTTGGTCGTGTTTCCACCTTTTGCTAAGACAACACGACGACACAACTTGCATAGGGTAGTGTTTTGGTCGGGGTCGGAGATTTTAAAGCCAAACCAGTTCCAAACAACAGAGGTGCCCCCTTTCTTCTTAACCAATTTATCCTCCTGCTCTTGAGCAACATCAATTTCTGTGTTTTCGCTCATCCTGGATTGTAAAGTTTTCCCCCAATAGTTAACCTGCCTCCTAACTGCAGCTGCCTGCACACTTCTTTGTTGCTAGCACTACATGCGTGCAACAAGTGCATGCGACGTGCGCTCATAAAAATAGGTCAACATATTAACATACATTCTTTTATTCGTAAGAACCAAGAAAGGTTGGATAAAAAAAAAAAAAAAAAGATGTAGCTACTTAGTACTATCACTCAGTTGAAATTTGGAACAAAAAAATATTGATGCAAAATTCGAATTTATGAATTCTGAATAAATCGCGGTATCCATGATATTGCTAAATCCATATCATGGCGCGGCACAATACCGGTTTTTACTATCAAACCGGTATATCGCCCACTCCTACCAGTGGGTGCTTTCAAATTGCGAGTGGCACAGGGAGAAAAACATGTATGCCCAGTCATTGCACAACATTCTTAATTAATGCGGTCATGGGGAAACACTTTTGAAAGCAGGTTAATTGCCACTGTTAAAAGACCAGGATCACAGCTTTCTATTCTACTTACATTTATTTCTCAACTCCTAAAAATTTGCAAGTTGGACCCTTTTAAAAACAGTTTTTAGCAGCAACATGGATTAGGCGCGTAGCGAATGGCATTTAACACATTAGCAGAGATCTGAGCTGAATCAAACCGGTTAGCTACTAGCGCTTCTCATGACACCAATTGATGCATTGGAGTCATTCAATTTCCGTTATGATTAGCTGAGGGCCAATGCAACGGCGGCTGACGGAGCGCTGAAACTCTATCTAAATTCAAATAGGCCTATAGGGCCCGGCCTACACCTCACATGCGATAGAGTTTTGGAAACATTTGGTATTAAACTTTCATATAAGCGATAAATAATTGTTCAAATACAAAAGATACACGTACACTTGTATGTAGTTTAGCAAAGATGCTTCCTGTTTGCACCCGGCTATTTACAAGAACACCACCTAACCCTAACCAAGACTACACTTCTTCCCCCCGTCACCGGGAGCTTAACTGGGGAGGAAGTTTCTTACCTTGGTTTTCCCAGTGTTGTTAAATTCTGCCGGGAGCAACCAGGACGCAACTTTGCTAAACTGCCTACAGTAAGTTTATCTTTTGTATTTGCAATATTTTTTCTCGCTGATGTGAAAGTTAAGTTCCAAAGGTTTCCAAAACCGTATCACAAACAGGATTAGTAAGGTTCCTAAACGTTACAACAGCGCGTCAGTATTGTAGTTCATTGATCCAGCTGTTATATGCGGGATTGATTGAGAATTCTACCGCTGGGTAAGGCTTGAGTACTCTAGAGCTAGTCAGCTGGCTACAACCTTGGCTGAGTACCCCACACACACACACACACACACACACACACCTCCCAATTTAACCACTGGTTGAATGACACTCACCCGTCTCAATCAATGACAATATTTGAAATAGACAGATGGCAGCGTACACATTGTTGGATTACTGGAAGGAACGCCAAGTAAAGGTTGGTAGAAAATTCCCCTTTCCCCTCTGTGTGGCAGTGAAGAAACCAGACTGACCAGCCATTGTTACCAGCTCATGTAAACAAAACGTGGAGTACCTGGAGGCTCTCTTTTAATTGTGGAATAAGCATTTTGAATCGATGAACAGGGTCGAAATCTTGCTGTTGACTCAACTGCTGTTGTTGAAGTGTAGCAGCTTGTTGCATTCCAACTTGGGGCATCGGTCCACCGGGTTGTTGCTGTGCAGCCATTTTGGTGAACTACTTCTTCGGGGAGGTTTGACGGGGGACTACATCCTTTCATGGTTCATTGTCGCCACCTACTGGGTGGGATGAAAACTCAAACTTCAACCCCAAGGATAAATAGTGATCGGGTCTTTTTTGATACTTTTCCTAGGCACTAACTCCGCCATGGTTCATTGGACAAGGCCTATGAGCAAAATGAATGACGTTTTTGTAGGGTTTTGGGATAAACGCCGAAAATAAGGTCTGTGGTAAACACAGGATTAGGAGATCTTATACGTTTTGTTCTATGAGATAATCATTAGTTAACTTCACATTTTGTGAATTTTGAAGAATTTATGTAATAATAAAAACACAAATCACAAAGGCTTCATAATTCATAAAGGTCCTATTTCCTCATAGAACAAAGCGTATAAGATCTCCTAAGCCTGTGTTAACGTTTATTCCAAAACCATATTCTTTCCGCATTCATTTTTCCCATAGGGATGGCTGAACGAACCAGAGGTATCTTATTTCCGGGTTTTAGGACTAAATATATTTGCTACAAGTGAAAAACATACCACAGCTTATCCATTGTAGTGACCAGACACTAAAGTAGCTGCTCTAAGAATGAAAATAAACGTCTTCAAAAATGGAAGGCAGTCAGGAGGCAAGAACATGTTGCACCATTCTAGCCAAAGAGAGGGCAGATATGTGTGTGAACAACTCAGATATAAAGTGTTTTTTCTCAAAGTTGCCAGGATGTCCTACTTATATCAGTACACTCCTAACACCCTAAGCGTTATGTAGTAAGTATATGCTTTTTGGTCTTACTTTAAGTTTAGGGTTAGCCATAAGGTTAGCAGTGTGGTCAAAAAAAATCACATTTTATTTGTCACATGCGCCAAATACAACAGGTGTAGACCTTACAGTGAAATACTTACTTACAAGCCCTTAACCAACAATGCAGTTTTAAGAAAAAAATACAATCTAATATAATACGAAATAAAAGTAACAAATAATTGAAGAGCAGAAGTAAAAAAAACAATAGTAAAATAACAATAGCAAGGCTATATACAGGGGGTACCCGGCACAGAGTTAATGTGTGGGGGTACCGTCGATGTTATTGAGGTAATATGTACATATAGGTAGAGTTATTATAGTGAATATGCATAGATAATAAACAGAGAGTAGCAGCAGCGGGGATGTTCAGGAGTCTTATGACTTGGGGGTAGAAGCTATTAAGAAGCCTTTTGGACCTAGACTTGGCGCTCCGGTACTGCTTGCGGTGCGGTAGCAGAGAGAACAGTCTATGACTAGGGTGGTGTAGGGCCTTGCTCTGACACCGCCTGGTATAGAGGTCCTGGATGGCAGTAAGCTTGGCCCCAGTGATGTACTGGGCCGTACGCACTACCCTCTGTAGTGCCTTGCGGTCGGACGCCGAGCAGTTGGGGGCACTGAGCACTGTTAAGGTTAGGTTTAACATCTGATTTTAAGAAGAGGAACATGAGAAATAGGCGGGGTTTCTGACTTTGTGACTGTGGTAACTAGTGACGATGATAAAAGTCCGTAGAGAAAGGAGGCCCCTGGTGGTGGTTGTTTGTAAGAAACCCCGTAGTGAATCGCTTTGCGCTTAATGCAACACAAATCCAAAATGGCAGGAGCTGATGGAGACGATTCCCTCTACCCTATCGCGGTGCTCATTGACGAGCTTCGTAATGAGGATGTGCAGGTAATCACCGATGCTCTGTTCATACGACGTTCAAATGGGATATTATATTGGTGGTATTTGTTTCACTTAAACATGTCTGATTTCAAAAAGGATAGTAAGCTAACATCCCGAGGCCTTTTGGCCTGTTCATGAAGTCTCAGCCCTGCGCACCCAGTCTGGCTAACTAGCTGTCTAGCGTGTTACTTGGTGTGATACATATCAAACGGAATAGCTGCATGTCGTATTTAGTTACAACCAAAAATGTATAGCTAGCTAACTAACTAGTTATTTGACGGTGTAAAAGTAACTGCTGCTAGCTAATGTTAGCTAGTTAATGGGTCACTTGGTTAGCTAGCTAGTGTGCCGGGCTATCTATGCTACTGTAGTTAGCAGCGAACTAGTTAATAAACGTTAACTATCTAGCTAGCTCAAATTCGTATGTTAGCTTGCAGATGAACCTAGCTACTTGTTTTATTATTGAAATATCAATGTACAATACATACATGATAACGTTACTGTATGCTAATTAGCAAGCTCAAATATGTTTAAAGCTGCTAACTACGTAGTTTCCTTGTTGTACCTGCCGGTCATCCAGCTCCACCCTGGTAATGGTAGTGAGATTATCATTATTTTCATGTTGTAACTAACTTGTTAGCTAGGTAACTATTAACATGGTTAGGTATGTACTATATCTGCATCTTGCTTTGGTGTCTCTGAAATCATTACAAAAACACACACATTTTCTATACTCTAGAAAAAAGTTGTATCATGTTCATAGGAATGCACCTAAATGGGAACACATGTTTCTTCTCTGAAATGCTCACATCTGAAATAGTCTTTATAGTTTGCCTCACTGAAATGCTAAGAATCTTTTTATGGATAATGGTGTCTCCTCTTGTAAGTTTCATGTAATAACATCACCTGTCATTGTTTACTTTCCAAGCTGCGACTGAACAGCATCAAGAAGCTGTCTACCATCGCACTGGCCCTTGGAGTGGAGAGGACACGCACTGAACTCCTCCCCTTCCTCACAGGTATGTCTTCACCTTAAGACCCCAGTTACAGCCATCCTCATGAGTCATGAGTAAAGACTTGTGAAAGGCTAATAATTCTGACTGAGTCAACACTCTTTAAAGAGATTCACCGGACATTGCACAACCAGCATCAACATTGGCACTTTGCTGGAAATTGTTCTGAGATAGCATGCATTGAAGCCAGTAGAATTCATCAATCTAATTGTGTTGTCATGCCAATGATGTTTCACACCTGACCTCTTGTAGACACCATCTATGATGAGGATGAGGTGCTTCTTGCCTTGGCTGAGCAGCTGGGCAACTTCACCATGCTGGTGGGAGGCCCAGAATATGTTCACTGTCTGCTGGTATGTATCTGGCATTGAGCATATAAGATGCATACAGATATTCAACACAATTTGACAGAGTTAGGTGTACATGCATGGGTTTTCTCAACATATCCAGTCAGCTACACTACATATACATACACATACTTATGTCCCTTTGTCTTTCTCCGCAGCCGCCTCTGGAGAGCCTGGCTACCGTGGAGGAAACGGTGGTGCGAGACAAGGCGGTGGAGTCTCTGCGCAAGATCTCCCAGGAGCACTCTCCTGTGGACCTGGAGGTGCACTTTGAGCCCCTGGTGAAGAGGCTGGCCAGTGGTGACTGGTTCACCTCCCGCACCTCTGCCTGTGGCCTGTTCAGCGTCTGCTACCCCCGCGTGTCCAGCACCGTCAAGGCTGAAATTCGCCAGTGAGTAGCTATATCAGGAGGGATGTATCTAAGACCTGATTAGCGAAGATCCCAGGGGGATTGAAATATGGTCTATTATGTGTGTCCCCAATAATCACTAGGAGCATAATATTAGAGTTGCGGACATTACTTTGGCTCATATCAGGGGCTAGTCACACACTAGCCTTGCAGTCCCAAATCAATCAGATCGGAATGATTAGCTACACTCTTTCTGTAGAGGAGATACAATGGAAGTATGGTCTGACGGTGGGTGGTATGTTCTCTCCACAGGCATTTCCGCACTCTGTGCTCAGATGACACTCCAATGGTGCGCCGCGCCGCAGCCTCCAAGCTTGGGGAGTTCGCCAAGGTTCTGGAGCTGGACTATGTCAAGAGTGACATCATCTCCCTCTTCACTGCACTGGCCTCCGATGAGCAGGTACTCTATACACGCACACAGGGCGTTCTGTGACATTGCGGTGGGAAGTGCCTGGAATTCTACCAGCCAATTCCTAAATCGACTGGCCAGTGGAAATAACATGGCCATACAAAATATGTTTTTGAATGGGGATGGATGAATATTGAATGGGAATAGAACAATCATATTTCAGCTAATTCAGTAGGTAGCCCCAACTGGGACTCAAAACCGGGTCTAGCTATTGTTAACCCAACGCCTCAGCAGTTAAACCATGAAATCCGTCCCATGGGGATCGTGTGTTCACACGATGCATTTCTATGGTGTTGCTACAGTATTTTATTAAATTGGCACAATGAGAAATAATCCCATGATCCCCCCGACTGTAGGACTCAGTGCGCCTGCTGGCGGTGGAAGCCTGTGTGAGCATCGCCACGCTGCTGCCCCAGGAGGACCTGGAGACCCTTGTGATGCCCACCCTGCGCCAGGCCGCCGAGGACAAGTCCTGGAGGGTCCGCTACATGGTGGCCGACAAGTTCTCTGAGGTAAGCATGTGGAAACATTGATATGTTGCATGTAGCCATAATGCCTCTAAAATATTTGCTGCTTTACTGAACCTGGAATGGAAGCAATGGGGGCCGACATTCAATGCTTCACAGATGGTCACTTTAAAAGGGTGATTTTTGTAGTTTTTAGTGTGCCTATCCGTAACGTTTTTGTGGTAAATTGAGAAATAGATTTTTCAAATTTGGTGGAGGTATTTGCACAAATGTTGCTATCATTTTAGTCTAGTAGGATGAGTTATATTTTCAGTTGTTTTACTGTATTGAACTTAAGTAATACAATGCTCCAAGGGGAAAGTAGAGTGGACATGGATAGCAGGACAATTATGGGGGCCTGTAATGTTCTTAGTCCCCCAGCGTAGAACTTTCTTAATGTCCTCATTGCCACTTACGTTCACTACACTAACCCATTGATTTCTAACCCATATGACATTCTGTTGTCATTTAGTATAAAATGGGTCATATTGCCACTGTTTCATAATATGTTGTAGAAGTTCAGTCAATCAATGTAAAAACTTTCATGCAACCTCACACACGTTAAAGCTTAGCAAATGTTTTTTTGTGCACCACACTTACTGAAAGGTCCCCTACCACCTTCCCCCTCGCCACCATGGCCTTTGGGAGCCTGTGTTCCCAACCCAAATTCCATGAGTTTAGTGTGTTGATCAGCAAATCTCAGAGCAAGGTTTGAAGGTGGGATCGTGTCAGGGCCGTAGATAGAGATCTCTGCTGGATGTTAATTGCTATGTCTAGTCTGTGGTAGGAGTAGAAGTTCCCTCAGCCAATTCAACAGTTGGCAGGAAACTTCCACACAAATTAAAGCCTGGCAATGGCAAATAGTTTTGTGCACTTTCCCCCTTGCTACCATGGACTTTGTAGCCTATGTGTTCACAACCTGAATCCCATCAGTTCAGTGTCTTAGTCATGGAGTATCACACACAGGTTTAGTGGTGGATGTTAATTGCCATGTCACTGATTCCACAGCTCCAGAAAGCGGTTGGCCCAGAGATCACCAAGAATGACCTGGTCCCAGCCTTCCAGAATCTGCTCAAGGACTGCGAGGCTGAGGTCCGAGCCGCCGCCGCCAACAAGGTCAAGGGTGAGTGTCTGGATGCTATCCGCCAGTCCATAGAAAGCCTCTGTTGAATAAAATAGAACGGTTTGAATGAGAAGCTTTTACGTCTAATAGACCACGGTATTTACAAACACCATTCCTGTCCTCAGAGTTCTGCGAGAACCTTCCAGAAGACAGCAGAGAAACCATCATCATGACTCACATTCTGCCCTGTGTCAAGGTATAAAAAAAACAGTCACTGTTCACTTTTATCCCTTTTTTATTCTGCTAATTTACGTGCGCTGGTGTCTTTGACCTGTCAATTTCTCACTTGATGGAAGTAACTCCTAGCACCCATGACCAACGAAGGGGCAAAAAAAGCATTTATCTTTTCAAAAATGTATAGCTGTAGTGCTTTAGACGAGCAGTCCTGTGTTCTGAAGTCTTGACAATAACGCGAGTTAAGCAAATTCTCGTGTTCAGACGTGAAAATGCACAAGCAGTGGATATTTTTAGACACCCACAAATCAATTTCTAGCGTTATAGTTAAACTGATTAACCTGTTGTTCTTGACCGTACTTTCTATACGTGAGCCGGGAGGATATTATGCTTCGTAGGTTGGGGCCTAGGAAGAGATGAGGACTTGAGCTCAGTATAGCTTTTGGACAGCAGGGGGTACTGTTGTATTTAAAATGTCTACCAAACCACCACACAACACCTATTCACTGTCGATGTGTTAGAACTCACTGGTTGGTTCCTGAGTTTAAATGACGGCCCTTCTTATATTGTTTTGGAAATATATTTTTGGGCAATAAATCTCTTCTAGGAACAACCCCAGCATAAAATACAAAAGTACAATTATAGCCTATACCATCTTTTTGTGAAATCCCAAGTCCTTATCAAATGTTATTCAAAGCTGGTCCAAATATGACAGAAATACAGTATATGAGCTAGGTGCTGCTATTATTAACCAATGTGGGATAAATGGCAAACTGTTTTCATGAAAGCATTTGAGAATATAAGAACTTGCGGAAATGCACTAAATGACCAAAAGTATATGGACACCTGCTCATCAAACATCTCATTCCAAAATCATGGGCATTAATATGGACTTGGTCCCACCTTTGCTGCTATAACAGCCTCCACTCTTCTGGGAAGGCTTTCCACTAGATGTTGGAACATTGCTGCGGGGACTTGCTTCCATTCAGCCACAAGAGCATTAGTGAGGTCGGGCACTGATGTTGGGCGATTAGGCCTGGCTCGCAGTTGGTGTTCCAATTCATCCCAAAGGTGTTCGATGGGGTTGAGGTAAGGGCTCTGTGCAGGCCAGTCAAGTTCTTCCACACCGATCTAGACAAACCATTTCTGTATGGGCCTCGCATTGTGTACGGGGGCATTGTCATGCTAAAACAGGAAAGGACCTTCCTGAAACTGTTGCTACAAAGTTGGAAGCACAGAATCATCTAGAACATCATTGTATGGTGTAGCGTTAAGATTTCCCTTCACTGGAACTAAGGGGCCTAGCCCAAAGCATGAAACAGCTCCAGACCATTATTCCTCCTCCACCAAACTTTACAGTTGGCACTATGCATTCGGGCAGGTAGCGTTCTCCTGGTATCCGCCAAAACCAGATTAGTCTTTCGGACTGCCAGATGGTGAAGCTTGATTCATCACTCCAGAGAATGAGATTTCACTGCTCCAGAGTACACCAGCTTCGACGCTCATTGGATGTGGCAGGGCTTGCAAACTATTACAGACTACAAAGTGAAGCACAGCCGCGAGCTGCCCAGTGACACGAGCCTACCAGATGAGCTAAATTACTTCTATGCTCGCTTCGAGGCAAGTAACACTGAAACATGCATGAGAGCATCAGCTTTTCCGGACGACTGTGTGATCACGCTCTCCGTAGCCGATGTGAGTAAGACCTTTTAAACAGGTCAACATTCACAAGGCTGCAGGGCCAGACGGATTACCAGGACGTGTACTCCGAACATGCGCTGACCAAGTGTCTTCACTGACATTTTCAACCTCTCCCTGTCTCACCGACAATGACGAGACAGCGTATAGGGAGGAGGTCAGAGACCTTGCCGTGTGGTGCCAGGACAACAACCTCAACGTGATCAAGGCAAAGTAGATGATTGTGGACTACAGGTAAAAGAAGAGGACCGAGCACGCCCCCATTCTCATCGACAGGGCTGTAGTGGAGCAGGTTGAGAGCTTCAAGTTCCTTGGTGTCCACATCACCATCAAACTAACATGGTCCAAGCACACCAAGATAGTCGTGAAGAGGGCACGACAAAACCTATTCCCCCTCAGGAGACTGAAAAGATTTGGCATGGGTCCTCAGATCCTCAAAAGGTTCTACAGCTGCACCATTGAGAGCATCCTGACTGGTTGCATCACTGCCTGATATGGCAACTGCTCGGCCGCCGACCGCAAGGCAATACAGAGGGTAGTGCGTAAGGCCCAGTACATCACTGGGGCCAAGCTTCCTGCCATCCAGGACCTCTATACCAGGCGGTGTCAAAGACTCCAGCCACCCTAGTCATAGACTGTTCTCTCTGTTACCGCACGGCAAGCGGTACCGGAGCGCCAAGTCTAGGTCCCAAGAGGCTTCTAAACAGCTTCTACCCCTGAACAGCTTCTAAGACTCCTGAACATCTAATCAAATGGCTACCCAGACTATTGGCATTGCCCCCCCACCCCTCTTTTACGCTGCTGCTACTCTCTGTTTATTATCTATGCATAGTCACTAATAACTCTACCTACATGTACAAATTACCTCGCCTAACCGGTGCCCCCGCACATTGACTCGGTACCGGTACCCCCTGTATATAGCTTTGCTATTGTTATTTTTACTGCTGTTCTTTAATTATTTGTTACTTTGATTTCTTATTTTATATTGTTTTATTTTTAGATTTTTGGTATTCTTAAAACTGCTTTGTTGGTTAAGGGCTTGTAAGTAAGCATTTCACTGTAAGGTCTACACCTGTTGTATTCGGCGTATGTGACAAATACAATGTGATTTGAGTCCAATAGCGGCGAGCTTTACACAACTCCAGCCGACGCTTGGCATTGCGCATGGTGATCTTAGGCTTGTGTGCGTCTGCTTGGCCATGGAAACCCATTTCATGAAGCTCCCGACGAACAGAGGCAGTTTGGATCTCTGTAGTGAGTGTTGCAACCGAGGACATGCACTTCTGCACTCAGCGGCCCCATTCTGTGAGCTTGTGTGGCTTACCAGTTTGCGGCTGAGCCGTTGTTGCTCCTAGACGTTTCCACTTCACAATAACAGCACTTACAGTTGACCTGGGCAGCTCTAGTAGGGCAGACATTTGATGAACTGACTTGCTGGAAAGGTGGCATCCTATGACTGTAAGGCCATTTTACTGACAATGTTTGTCTATGGCGATTGCATGGCTGTGTGCTCGATTTTATACACCTGTCAGCAACGGATGTGGCTGAAATGGCAAAATCTACAAATTTTGAAGGGGTGTCCACATACTTTTGTGTGTGTAAATGTCTGGTCTGTAGAGCAGAGTAACGCTTCACAGCACCGGATCAGCTTGCGTAAACAGATGATTCATTTCAACACAGAGGCTAATTTCTGCTTACCTTTTCCACAACGGCACTGTATTCTATGGGCAGGATGTGGACTTGTGGCCTTATACACCTCTTGAGGAACATTGTAATAGTGATTCTCTAACTTTTTCCGATGCCACTTTTCACCTGAGGGAAATAACAATGTAGCAATAATATTGTCACATAATATTGCCCTATTTGAAAAGACCTGATTTGCTGTCCCTGTCCACTGCAATATCTGACTCTTTCTCTTCTGACAGGAACTGGTGTCTGACACCAACCAGCATGTGAAGTCTGCTCTGGCCTCTGTCATCATGGGCCTGTCCACCATTCTGGGCAAAGACAACACAGTAGAACACCTGCTGCCTCTGTTCCTGGCCCAGCTCAAGGACGAGGTAATCACCTTTGATTCATTACTGCTCCTATTCGTTCTATTCATTAGGCACCAAATGGCAGAAAAGGGCGGCAGGTAGCTTAGTGGGTAAGAGCGTTGTGCCAGTAACCGAAAGGTCGCTGGTTCTAATCCCCGAGCCGACTAGGTGAAAAATCTGTCGATGTGCCCTTGAGCAAGGCACTTAACCCTAATTGCTCCTGTAAGTCGCTCTGGATAAGAGCGTCTGCTAAATGACCAATTATTATTAATTATTAAAATAGGCTGAAATTGGGAGGGTGGGAAGGAATTCTTGGACTAGGCAAAATATCTTCTATGTCTAATCTGATCACCCCCTTAATATCCTCTAATGCTATTGGCCAGGCTCAGGATCAGATGTACCTGGCTGGCTCCCTACCGGAGTATAAACCTAGGGATGGCCCTTAGAGCGTTTGAACCTTTTTCCTGGTGACATATGTTCTAGTGGTGGTAGGCTATTTGAGGTTTTCATTCTGTGTGGATTCATGCTGACATATCCTTCCTAAATGAACCTGTATCGCAGCCAAAATCCAGATGACTTAAGACGTCGGCGCTAGCGGACTACATTTACATACAGTGCCTTTGGAAAGTATTCAGACCTTTTACTTTTTCCACATTTTGCTAGGTTACAGCCTTATTCAAAAATTTATAAAATTGTTTTTTCCCCCTCTATTTACACAAAATCTAAAAAAAATCAGGTTTTTGCTTTGTCATTATGGGGAAATATGACAAAGCAAAAACAGGTTGTTATACATTTTTGATAATTTATCAATAAACTGACATTTACATAAGTATTCAGACCCTTTACTCAGTACGTTGTTGAAGCACCTTTTAGAATAAGGATGTGATGTAACAAAATGTGGAAAAAGTCAAGTGGTCTGAATACTTTCCGAAGGCATATGGTGGATTAGTAATACTGGAGTGGGAAGGTTTGGGTAGATGACGTGAATTGCCCTGCAAAAAATAAAGGTGCACAAATACACTGAGACATGGTTGGCTGTCATCTATGACAGCCTTACTATTAAAAGATGTTCTAGTTTGCATTGCAGCCAACGCTGAGTTGACAGGGTTTGTGTCATAAAGGATTAGTCCGAACGGACAACTGGGGTGCAAAACGCCCCGAATGACTCACGGATATAAACATTATCTGTATTCTTCAATATTTCTAATACAAATATTTAGTCCTTGGATTGTGTACTGTCCCTCAGCTGGCTGCCATCTCTGTCGTATCCTATTTGGCTTGATGTGAAGTGTAAAATCTGTCTGCACATTCGGAGGCTAAGAATCAAGTGTCTGGGACTGGCAGCATGAGTTGGGGACGAGCGGAAGGTCTTTGGCAATTATTTTAGCCATTGTTTATAATGTTGAGATTGGAGCCAATAAAGGTGTCATTACAAGCAGATGGGGATGCATAAGCAATAGCTCAGATTTTCTGTCACAATGATTTTTTCCACCTTAAGAACGCTTGAAATAAAATGACGTTCATTCTTAAAGGAAGACGGACATATGAAATGTAATGTTCCCTAATGTAATTATCCCCACGACCTATACAAGAGATCTCTCTCACTGCAGTCTTACCTGCTCTCTCTTCTCTTCTCCTTCCCTCTTTCTCCCTGCAGTGCCCTGAGGTGCGCCTCAACATCATCTCCAACCTGGACTGTGTCAACGAGGTGATCGGCATCCGCCAGCTCTCCCAGTCGCTGCTGCCCGCTATCGTGGAGCTGGCCGAGGACGCCAAGTGGAGGGTCCGCCTGGCCATCATCGAGTATATGCCCCTGTTGGCTGGACAGCTGGTGAGTCCTCGGCTGCGTCCCAAACGGCACCCTATTCCCTATATAGTGCACTACTGTTGATCAAAGCCCTAATAGGGTACCGTTTGTGACTCAACCCTCCAGCCCAACTTCAGGAGACATCGGTCTGTCCCGTCCTCCCTTCCCCCTAATCACACATCTGTCTGTGGCCTACATCTGCCTTGTGCCATGCGTATGTGCCACAGTTTATGGTGGGCAAGTGCTGGTCACCCAATATCATTGTAAAAAATGGCTATGCAATGTATAAGTAATTCAGCTAGCTTTATTTGTGCTTTCTAAGTAGAAAGTGGCATACCCCAAATTACTATTCAGTAATAGTGTTGCTCACACTGTAATATTTGAAGTGAAAATAGTTTAGAAATGGATGATCTTCTAATCTCTTCTGCAGGGAGTGGAGTTCTTTGATGAGAAGCTGAACACCCTCTGCATGGCATGGCTCATTGACCACGGTAAGAACCCCCCCGATACACACCACTCTCTGTTCAATGCATTTGTCCTGTGTCCACACCGTGAGATGAGTCAGTGGGAGTAGTAGGATACTAACGTTGGACAGAGGTGGGTCACATCCCAGACGGACCATGTCCCATGCTGCTCTCTAAGCTAGCAGTTCTTCCGCCCTCCCCCGCATCCTCTGTGGTTTGGGGGGGAGAGAGGGAGACGTGTCAGGCTGCAGCTCTCTCTCAGCCTCACGGCTGTGCCAGTGACAGGTCTGACAAGAACCCAGTGACTTGGACTGGGAGAGGCCAGGGAAATGTTCACTCCTGCCCTCTCCTCTCTAGCTGAGCTGGATAGAATGGGAAACATACTGTAATACAGTCTGCATCCCAAATGGCACCCTATCCCCTGTATTGTGCACTACTTTTAACCAATGCCCATAGGGCTCTAGTAAAGAGTTGTGCGCTATATAGAGAATGGGGTGCCATTTAGGATGCAATCCATACTGTAATACACAATCACAGGTAGGCATTTGGAATGAGCAAATCAGCTATTTTCTGCAGTAGCCTTCTCTATTTTTACAGGGACAGGTTTTTGTGCAGCACAGGTGCAGAACGTATAGAAAATGTGAACAGGCATCCTGGGGGGGGGAGCAAACCCTGTGGTATCAAGATACTACTCGGTATCGTGATACTTGGTCTGTTATCATCACATCACTAGTAAAATATTGGTATTGTGACACCCCTACTCTGAAAATAGGCAAATCTTCTTGCAGTTTACAGTTACTTTATGTGTTTTGAATGCGCTGGTGTGATTTGGAGACCTTGTTGGCTACGTCTCTTCTGTCTGCCTTTTCACGTCGCCAGAAATAAACATTTTAACCTGCTCCTTTTTTAGATGGTCCTACAGACAGGTTGGTTGTTTAGCAACAACCTGCACTTGTGCAACTATGGGGCAAAACTGACGGGATGAGTTAGCCTGTTGACAACATGTAGACTATATTGAGTCTCCAAATGTTTATTGAAACATAAATACATTTGCACCTGTCTCTCAAAAACATTGTTAGTTGTTGGTTAGCTAGCTAGTGGCTGAGAGAACATGTGCAGTTGTAAAGCACATTTATGGCCATTGCTTATACCCAGTTTTTATGCTATTCGAGTGACTCAAATACTCATTTCAGACATAAGGAGAAAAAAAGAATGTATGTACACACACAGTGCTTTCGGAAAGTATTCAGACGCCTTGACGTTTTTGCAAATGTATTAAAATAAAAAAAAAACAGAAATATCACATTTACATAAGTATTCAGACCCTTTACTCAGTACTTGTTGAAGCACCTTTGGCAGCGATTACAGCCTCAAGTCTTCTTGGGTATGATGCGACAAGCTTGGCACGTGTATTTGGGGAGTTTCTCCCATTCTTCTCTGCAGATCCCCTCAAGCTCTGTCAGGTTGGATGGGGAGCGTCGCTGCACAGCTATTTTCAGGTCTCTCTAAAGATGTTCGATCAGGTTCAAGTCTGGGCTCTGGCTGGGCCACTCGAACATTGAGACTTGTCCCGAAGCCACTCCTGCGTTATCTTGGCTGTGTGCTTAGGGTCGTTGTCCTGTTGGAAGGTGAACCTTCACCCTGTCTGAGGTCCTGAGCACTCTGGAGCAGGTTTTCATCTGTACTTTGCTCCGTTCATCTTTCCCTCAATCCCAACTAGTCTCCCTGTCCCTGCCACTGGAAAACATCCCCACAGCATGATGCTGCCACCACCATACTTCACCGTAGGGATGGTGCCAGGTTTCATCCAGACGTAACACTTGGCATTCAGGCCAAAGAGTTCAATCTTGGTTTTATCAGACCAGAGAATCTTGTTTCTCATGGTCAGTCGTTTAGGTGCCTTTTGGCAAACTCCAAGCGGGCTGTCATGTGCCTTTTACTGAAGAGTGGCTTCCGTCTGGCCACTCTACCATAAATGCCTGATTGATGGAGTATTGCAGAGATGGTTGTCCTTCTGGAAGGTTCTCCCATCTCCACAGAGGAACTCTGGAGCTCTGTCAGAGTGACCATCGGGTTCTTGGTCACCTCCCTGACCAATGCCCTTCTCCCCCAATTGCTCAGTTTGGTCGGGCGGCCAGCTCTAGGAAGAGTCTTGGTGGTTCCAAACTTCTTCCATTTTAAGAATGATGGAAACCACTGTGTTCTTGGGGACCTTCAATGCTGCAGAAATGTTGGTACCCTTCCCCATATCATCTGTGCCTCGACACAATCCTGTCTCGTCAACTGTGAGACCTTAGACCACAGGTGTGTGCCTTTCCAATCAATTGAATTTACCACAGGTGGACTCCTATTTGTAGAAACATCTCAAGGATGATCAATGGAAACAGGATGCACCTCAGCTCAATTTCGAGTCTCATAGCAAAGGGTCTGAATACTTATTTAAATAAGGTATTTCTGTTAATTTTTTTAATACATTTGCAAAAAAATTCTAAACCTGTTTTTGCTTTGTCATTATGGGGTATTGTGTGTAGCTTAAGGGGGAAATGATTTAATCAATTTTAGAATAAGGCTGTAATGTAACAAAGTGGAGAAGGGGTCTGAATGCACTGTATCAGTCAGTAACTGGCTAATTGGGAGGGGTGGGGGCAGGGGGGCTGTTAAAAAATGGGGGATGTTTTAAATGAGTGCTAATTGAATATAGGGGAAGCAGTGCATAACATCAGCCAAAACAAGACTGAAACGAGCCACCTATGATTCCCCTCTTGGCAGCTTCTTGTTATTGTTGCAAACTATCTGACCATTCAATCGTAACTCGCACCTTCCGGCCACATCGATGCGCGCATCATATTCGTGACATTGTCAGCCAACCTGTCTATAAAGCCTTGAACAGCAAGATTGTATGTCTTATTGGCCTATCACTCGAGTGCATCTGTACTAATCCTGTTTAGAAAAAATGTATTCTGAGAGCTGTCCTCAGTGTTTAGACTAGATTATCTTTGTCCTCCTCAGAACACCTGCTTTGTTTCTCGCATGGAAGCATCTCTTTAGCTCTGGGTGACAGTTTTCCCTAGTTACAGATCTAGGATCAGGATTTCCTCCCCCAATCCTAACCGTAGTTATTATTGGGGGAAATGCAAAACTGACCCATAGTCAGTGTCTAGGGGCAATTTCACCACTGCATACCTCAACCTACCTTAACATCCCCCATTTCCCTTCAGGAGTTATGGAACAACCATCATGGCTGTAGGAATATAAGAAACAGGATGCAGACGGGTCAATAGTTGAACATTACCTATACATTTGTCAGACACAGTGGCCGTGTCCAAATACCTGTACTTGCGTTTTAAATAGTAGGCTGATTGGGTATGGGGAAAATATACTGAACAAAAATATAAACGCAATGTGCAACAATTGTGTTGACAAAACTGCACATTTTTGTGGCCTTTTATTGACCCCAGCACAAGGTGCACCTGTGTAATGATCATGCTGTTTAATCAACTGCTTGATATGCCACACCTGTCAGGTGGATGGAATATCTTGGCAAAGGAGAAATGCTCACTAACAGGGATGTAAACAAATTTGTGCATAAAATTGAAGAAAAAGCTTTTTGTGCGTATGGAACATTTCGTGGATCTTTTATTTCAGCTCATGAAACATGGGACCAACACTTTACGTGTTGTGTAAGAGAAGCGTCTTTTCAAACCCACTTGTTTGACAACAGCTGATAAGAGGATGGGCTGTACCAAAATGAACGAATTGTGGGAAACAGCACAATTAAGCATTAGATCATATTCTCAGGATGGGTGTGCTTAGTATGTTACTTGTTACTTACTGCATACATTTATACTAAACAGTACATTCAAAGTAGTATGATTAGTACACAGTGTTTTTAGTAAGACGTTGGCAAGACAGATTTCTGACACGGCCAGTATCACACAGGTTTTAATATCCCATTGTGGCTCCAAAGCCTTTGCTCCACAGTCTAATGGCAATGTTCTTCTAGCCCCAGCTTGGCTCTCTAGCAGTCTCTTTATGGCTGTATTAAGGGCCAGATGATAGGGTTAGGTCAGTGGGTTAGAAATGAGTTGTAACCAGGCCCCCTGGTCTCTCTGTCCAAAAGCTAGTATCGAATATCAGGAAATCAGGCTTGTGTGTACCCAGATGTTATGTCACTGTATTCTGGGCACAATTGAGTGTTTTTTTTTTTAGCAGTTCTGCAGTCACTAGCCTCTTTAGCCATGATTACTGATGGGAATGTTTTCTATGCAAATGGAATGTTTGCCACTCTATTTATTTGTTACTTGGCAAACAAACTGTGACAATAAGCCAAAGATGGCTGCCAAACTGGAATGGCTAGAAAAGCGCTCAAAAGAACCAAGAATCCTGACAAATGTTTTTTCAAGCGCCGGGTACTTGAGGTTTTTCCTGAGTATTGTACTGACGGCCACTCGCTTGTAGAGTTTGGATATGTCTATATTGAACTTTGATCTCTGTGTAATTGAGTTTTGTACGCATTTTCTTTTCGGTTAGATCACCATTTCATTTGAGTAATGCTAGTCAATAGGTCCAACTAGTTCTATTAATATTATAGTTTTGTAAAGGAAAACCCTGACACTTTTTCCTGACTACTACTAAAAAGAAACTACTAGGCCTAACTGTATCTAGTTCTACTGGCCAAGGTCTCTAAGCGTCTGTTTGTTTTCGCCAGTATACGCTATCCGCGAGGCAGCCACCTGTAACCTGATGAAGCTGGTGGAGAAGTTTGGAGCCGAGTGGGCCCAGAACACCATTGTGCCAAAGGTGCTAGGCATGGCCAACGACCCCAACTACCTGCACAGGATGACCACGCTCTTCTGCATCAACGTGAGTCCTCATGACCTTCACCACACACACACCCACCCTCAGATACAATAGGCGTATACTACGATGGAAGCAAGATCTACTCAGGTTTTTATAAAGCTAGCCATAGTACGAAGGTGGATATTGATCATGTTGCTGCCGCCAACTCAAGCAGGCTTGTAACTTTGCGTGCGTGTCGCACATGGCTAGTTGAATGCCAAACTATTCTTTGAGTTGATGCTGAACCATCAATCCATGGGCGAGTCAGTGCCACATCTTCATTTTTGCCGAAATCAACATGAAAGAAGTTCTTACAGATTTAGCAGGCTATGGTGTAAAATAGGATATTAGAAGTGCATATTTTATTACGTATCAATGCACAAACAGCTGTTTTTTCCCCACCATATCGATAAAATAATTGAATTTAGTCATACAAAAGTTTTACTATGCGTGAACTTTCAAATGCTTGCTGTCATTACTAAACGTTTAGTGATGGGTATTTTAATATTACAAATTTTTAACACCTTTTGATTCATAAAATATTTAATCATTCGTCTTCCTCAAATGAAGTGGATGATGACGCAATCTTTGCGAAAGGGAGGGAATCTGTTTTCATTGGTCCTCACCTCGCTGCTCAGTCATTTCATTCAGGGTAAATGGAGTGAGTGGCCTGCCCTGGAGCAGGTTAGTTCTGAAGGATTCGCTGCCATAGAAATGTACCTGGCTAAAAGGTGAGGCACTTTCGTATCACCGGTTATCTCGAGTTTAACTCTGAATTGACCAAAGTTACCTCGCTTACTCTTCAAACCTGATTCGTAGTATAGGGCACATCTCATTAAACCTCAGATGGATTTAAACCAAGTCATCTTTGGCAATCATTTTACTTCTAAAACAATCATACTTTTTTTTTTTTTAAGGAAACTTTCTGTCCCAGTCAGTTATTCTTGTCATTTATTATTATTTTACATCTGATATTTTAGGCATTTATCAGATGCTCTTATCCAGAGCAACTTAGTCACTTGGGTCTAACCGATCATTTGTTTATGCGTTGTTGGTTTCCGTGTCATCCACCCCAGGCTCTGTCTGAGGTCTGTGGCCAGGACATCACCACTAAGCAGATGCTGCCCGTGGTCCTCAAGATGTCCAATGACCAGGTGGCCAATGTGCGCTTCAATGTGGCCAAGTCCCTCCAGAAGATCGGCCCCGTCCTTGACAGCAAGTAGGTCCTCCTCGTCCACCACAAAGCCCTCGTTCATATCATTCAGGCCTACCTGAACAACCATCTCCAATTAATTGACCACAGTCTACATCAGGGTTGTGTTCAGTAGGCACAAAACGGGAGCAAATATTATGAAACTGAGACTCTTGCTTGAACTGGCCCAGTAAGGATGCTCATTTGAGTTATTCCGTCACAGTATGTTTTGCGTCTACTGAACACGACCCAGATCTCCATGTCCAAGCTTCATTTCCTACCAGTCAGCTAATCCATTATGGCACGGGAGTGTGGGAAAATGTGTGCCCTGTGTGAAACGTTTTGTTTTTCTCAGTGCTCTGCAGACAGAGGTGAAACCAGTCCTGGAGAAATTAGACACAGACACAGATATGGATGTTAAGTACTTTGCCCAGGAAGCTATAAGTGGTAAGTATAGTACTCTGTCCATTTTCTTCTTGTATGAAGTCTCCTCACTAGGGCCATGTTCAGTTAGGCACATGTTGTGGAACGTTGCAGATAGAAATGTCCTGAATAGAGCTGCCGTTAGTCCTTGTGCTACATGTTTGTTATACATAATATGCCCTGCTGAATGCATTTCCTTCTTGTCATTCTGATTCCTTGTTTCTCCCCATAGTTCTGGCCCTTGCATAAACCAAGCTTGGCTATCCATAGGAAACAACAACCCAAGATGTCACGACATTGCAAACACTTTTCACAATATATTTATTGATGTTCAAGAGCAACTGGTGATGTATGGAGAATTAATGGAGCCTATTAACACCTATTTTAATGTTTTCTTTACTCTGTGATAATAAAATGTCCAGGAAAAGCGCAGGCTAAGTTCCCCTCGCTGTAAATCTTTTGCTTCTCCAAGTGTGATGAAACATGCATTTAGCACAGCATGCTGACCACTGCATAAGTAGCATTGCTGGTTTGACCCACACAGTCCTCCCCTACATACATAGCCACTGACTACAACATTACTATTAGCACGGCCCCTTTCGCTGCCACATTTCTCTGTACGAAACACCCAGAACACGCGAGCCAGCTCTTGGTTGCATGTCCAAGTGCTAGACACATGCTATTGCTGCAGCAGATGGTGAGGAAGGATATTGTATTTGCTCGTGAAGAACTGCAAGGCTAAGGCACCCGCATATTTGTTTACATGTGCTGCTCCCTCTCTGGGACGTTTCTCATGTATTCATAAAAGCTGTTGCGCAACACCCCATCCTCTCTCTCTGTCCTGTGCAGGTGTTCAGTGTGTGTACAATGAAATATGGTTGAATTTGTCTGAGAAATGAGTAATACACAACAGTGTTCTATCGAAACGTAAATACTTCGGGATCTTGACAATGAGGCCCTTTAGCCACTTCCCCAGAGTTCGATGAACTTGGATACCATTTTTATGTCTGTCCAGTATAAAGGAAGTTAGAGGTACTTTTGTGAGCCATTTAACTAACGCTAGTTAGCAATTACGCTAGCACTAGTTAGTAACTTCCTTCAAACTGCATGCAGAGCCATAAAAATGGTATCCACACGTCCATCTGGCTCTGGGGAAGTAGATAAAGGGCCTCATTGCCCAAATCCCGAAGTATCCCTTCACGTAATGGGGACCACCACAAAGTGTTGCCCATCATTTGATATGTCATTATAGATTAGTTTGTATTCAGTTCATCCCTGGCTTTATTTCTTTTTCTGAGTCCTTTGTTTGATGCGGGGGGGGGGGAGAACAGTGGGAGTAATTGTCCAATCTCTCTTGCTATATTGCGCTTAATCTTTGTGCCAATTACTGATGAGCAATGGCTTTTTTTAGTAAGCTTTCGTAAGGTTTAACTCTTGATGGTTCTAATTTTATGTTGAAATTAAGTTGTGTGTTCTCTAAAGACAAGGCATCACTCCTCACGGGTTGTCATTCAGTCAGTTGAACAAGGCTTACCACTGCAGCTAAAAGGACTGGAGCACTGAGAATAGCAGGGCTCTGTGTGTGTGGATGGCTGTATAATGTTTTAAGGGATGGGAAGAGGGGGTGTGAATGATTTGGTCAGTTAGTCAAAATAAACTTTCCCTCACTGTCTCCCTCCCCATTTCTCATCGGTCTCTTAAATAAATAAACCTTGATTGTCCCATATCATGAAGACCCTGCTTTGGTTTTTATTGAATTCTCTCCACAATTGTGATGCTGTACTTGAACTGAATAAAGTAATACAAATTGTTTTACTCAAACCTACAATATAAACTTCTGCAACTGTTTAGTTGTCTGCACACCCTTAAATTTACAGATTTTGTTGCCTTAAAGGTAATCGGCGAAATTACGTTGCACAGCAGCGCCGCAATGAGCAAGATTAGACTGCGCATGTGCACCGATTCGCTTCAGGCTCTTCTGCGAAAGCCACTGGAGGGACGTTTTTAGCCTGGCAAGCCAAAACTCCTAATTCCGACCCGAGTTAAGCGTGTGTAAATGAGAGATTCATTTTTAATGCATTTCTCTAAGCCTATTCTAACTTTGAATTGAAGCATGAGAATATCATGCTATTCACCTGCTATTCGTTGGGGATGGAGATCAAGGAAGTGGAGGTGTGTCTACAGATACGTTGTATTCTGACCTTGACTTAATTCTCTCATTCCACCACCTTTGCGCGCAACTAACGAATAAGGTCCAGCAACCTGTCGGTAACACCATTCTCGATGCACTGTAATTTACAAATGTATAAGAGCTAGGTAAATGAGTAAGCTGTTTGGATAAGGGAATATAAATGACAATTGCTTTAGATCTATTTTACCTTATGATTACTGGAGACGTGAAACCAGTCAAACTGAAGCATATCAACATATCACCTTTTCCACAGTGAAGTTTATGAAATGCTGGCCTTATAACTTGCGATGAAATTTGGAGACCCAAGCTATAGGCTGCTGTAGCCATGCGTAAATGACAGTATAGCGCCAAACCTACCGAGTTGATTTATAGAATGTTTTAATTATATGGCCGGACTTTTCACTGTATTTTTTTAAACAATTTGTATCATGTTAAATATTAGCCACTATCGGTAGCCACCGTCAATTATACCCACATACATTTAACAGACGCTTTTATCCAAAGCGACTTACAGTCATGTGTGCATACATTTTTACGTATGGGTGGTCCCGGGGATCGCACCCACTACCCTGGCGTTACAAGCGCCATGCTCTACCAATTGAGCTACAGAGGACCACACCATTTACACTGAGTATAACAAACATTAGGAACACTTTTGCCGTCAGAATAGCCTCAATTTGTAGGGGCATGGACTCTACAAGGGGTCGAAAGCATTCCATAGGGATGCTGGCCCATGTTGACTGCAATGCTTCCCACAGTTGTGTCAAGTTGGCTGGATGTCCTTTGGGTGGTGGACCATTCTTGATACACACAGGAAACTGTTGTGTGAAAAACCAAGCAGATTTGCCGTTCTTGACACAAACCGGTGTGCCTGGCACCTACTACCATACCCAGTTCAAAGGCACTTAAATATGTTGTCTTGCCCATTCACCCTCTAAATGGCACACACACAATCCATGTCTCGAGGCTTAAAAATCCTTCTTGAACCTGTCTCCATCTACACTGATTTAAAGTGGATTTAACAAGTGACATCCATAAGGGATCAAAGCTTTCACATGGGCAGTCTATGTCATGGAAAGGGAAGGTGTTAATGTTTTGTATACTCTGTGTATAACTGTCACTGACTTTTGCATCATTCCATTGCATTGTTAGATTACCTTTATTTCTATGTTCGTGTGGTTGTTCCTGAGTATCGCTAGCAAGAGTGGATCATATTAGGCTAACGTGTTACAAGTTGTGCAATAATTTGGGACATGTAGCCTATTTGAATCATTATGGAACGGAGACCATACGTAGCAGTTTAAACCTGGAGCCTAGCGCACGGTTCACGACGACTGAACTGTTGTCATCACAGTTCCATGATTAGGGTAGATTTATAGGACTACTGTTCAACCCCAATTGTACACTTTATGATTTTTTATTTTTATGTATGCACTCACTAACTGTAAGTCGCTCTGGATAAGAGCGTCTGCTAAATGTAAATGTAGAATGTTTTCGCACCTTCCAATATTTCATGTATTGAACAGTTGTATATGTCAACTTTCAGAATGATTTAAACCACTGTTTTTGATTCACCAATATATTTTGTGCTTAAAGGCTCTCCAAACCTGTTTTTGTATTATTCATAAATACAGTGCATTCGGAAAGTATTCAGACCGAATGGATACTTTCCGAATGCACTTTTTCCACATTTTGTTACGTTACAGCCTTATTCTAAAATTGATGAAATTATTTTTTCCCCTCATCAATCTACACACAATACCCCATAATGACAAAGTGAAAACATATTTAGACATATTTGCTAATTTATTAAAAATAAAAAAACATACCTTATGTACATAAGTATTCAGACCCTTTGAGACCCCTTTTCCATTGATCATCCTTGAGATGTTTCTACAACTTGATTGGAGTCCACCTGTTGTAAAATAAATTGATTGGACATGATTTGGAAAGGCACACACCTGTATTTAAGGTCCCACAGTTGACAGTGCGTGTCAGAGCAGAAACCAAGCCATGAGGTCGAAGGAATTGTCCGTAGAGCTCCGAGACAGGATTGTGTCGAGACATTGATTGGAAAGGCACACACCTGTCTATATAAGGTCTCACAGTTGACGAGACAGGATTGTGTCGAGGCACAGATGATATGGGGAAGGGTACCAAAACATTTCTGCAGCATTGAAGGTCCCCAAGAACACAGTGGCCTCCATCATTCTTAAATGGAAAAAGCTTGGAACCACCAAGACTCTTCCTAGAGCTGGCCGCCCGGCCAAACTGAGCAATTGGGGGAGAAAGGCCTTGGTCAGGGAGGTGACCAAGAACCCGATGGTCACTGACAGAGCTCCAGAGTTCCTCTGTGGAGATGGGAGAACCTTCCAGAAGGACAACCATCTCTGCAGCACTCCACCAATCAGGCCTTTATGGTAGAGTGGCCAGACAGAAGCCAATCCTCAGTGTAAAAGGCACATGACAGCCCGCTTGGAGTTTGCCAAGAGGCACCTAAAGTTTGCCAAGAGGCACCATGAGAAACAAGATTGAACTCTGGCCTGAATACCAAGTGTCACATATGGAGGAAACCTGGCACCATGCCTACGGTGAAGCATGGTGGTGGCAGCATCATGCTGTGGGGATGTTTTTCAGCGGCAGGGACTGGGAGACTAGTCAGGATCGGGTGAAAGATGAACGGAGCAAAGTATCAGAGCTATCCTTGATGAAAACCTGCTCCAGAGCACTCAGGACCTCAGACAGGGTGAAGGTTCACCTTCCAACAGGACAACGACCCTAAGCACACAGCCAAGACAACGCAGGAGTGGCTTCGGGACAAGTCTCTGAATGTCCTTGAGTGACCCAGACAGAGACCAGACTGGAACCCGATCGAAGATCTCTGGAGAGACCTGAAAATAGCTGTGCAGCGATGCTCACCATGCAACCTGACAGAGCTTGAGAGGATCTGCAGAGAGAATGGGAGAAACAAGAAGACTCAAGGCTGTAATCGCTGCCAAAGGTGCTTCAACAAAGTACTGAGTAAAGGGTCTGAATACTTATGTAAATGTGATATTTCAGTTTTTAAATTTTTTGTTAAATTTGCTAAAATGTTTAAAAAGCTGTTTTTGCTTTGTCATTATGGGGTATTGTGTTTAGATTAATGAAGAAAAAAAACGATTGAATCAATTTTAGAATAAGGCTGTAACGCAACAAAATGTGGAAAAGTAAAAGGGTCTGAATACTTTCCAAATGCATCCTAACTCTAAATAATATACAAGATC